AATAAATTTGACGTATTCTTCACATTATTTCAATAATGCAATTGAAAACATGTATTGGAAGGTTGTTGTTAACAGGGCTTGTTTGAAACTTCCTTGAAAAATACTATATATCAGTTTTGGTTATATATCGACGCGCCTGAATGTTTTCTAATTGGAAGTTCAAACAAAAAAAAATACTTATATATCCAACTAGTTAAAATCCTATATAAATGTTAGTTTTTGTACCATAAATTACGAACATAATATCATCGGAATTTCCCCAAAGCAGTAAGAACGTGCTTTTACCCTTTAATACAAGAATCTGATATGAACTTGGCATGCAAACTCACTCAGCTTAAATCTAATCGAAAAACTTCCATTACACGCAATCGAATTTCCAGTGAAGTCAAACGATGCGATATCCAAGCTTCGGATTTAATTTCTGGTTTCGCCAATTTGATTCCGTGGGAAAGCGATGTAGAAAACCGCGTTATTTCGAGGGCCAACTGACAGCGAGGTAATAAAGGATGAAATAATTTTATATTCCTATTGAAGTAGGTTCAAAATTGATTTTGAAATAGCTTAATTACGAGTAAACGCGGTGAGCTAGATAGGACAATTTGGCGTGTTGATTTAGCTAAAAGAAAAACACTAAAATTTTATATGCTCAAGTGTACTTATACACGGATAGTGAGTAATCGCGCATGAAGTTATACGGCATCGACCGATTAGTTATGGTCAATATGAATTTCATTTTTAATTCTAGTCGTCTTCTAAAATTTCAAATAGCGCATAAAACAACTTAGCTCTCAAGCTTCAAAAAGTTTTGTCTAATGGATTTGCTTCGACAGCTTTTGTCTGAACTAAAAAATACAGTGGTTAGAATGTTGATAAAGCGTAGTTTGATTTCCCCCAGGACGAACTTAATTTGATTGCGTTACTAAAAGCTGGTGATGTCGATTTGTTAGCTACTTTGTTCACTGTGTTTTAGCAAAAGGAAAGTTCTCTAGGGAATAGGCATGGGAGGTATTATATTTTGTACAGGCTTCGAGAGGAGTTCAGTAAAACTTGCCTATGTAACGTTCTATACCGAAAAATGGATATATATATAGGTATTTTTCATGCGGTACGTGGCTGATGATATATATATATATAAAATGGCGATGTTACGTCGAATTAATTTGGGTATTAATATCCCGGGACAGAAAAAAATTCATCGTATGCGTCAGTAGTGTGTGACGCCACGTGATAGTGCTCTTTGAACGCAGAGAACAGTTTTTTGTTTGTTCGATGAAATTCTCCCTCTTCATGACGCCGATGTTCTTGTACGTGGTCTGAGCAGGCGTTACTGTGCGAACCCACGTTCACGTGGAGATTTTTAAAAGCTATTAGCCATGCGTAATTTAAACACTCAACAAGCATGGCCTTAGAAGTAGTAATACCTAGCCGATGTTTGGATAAATTCAGCTTAATATTGTTGTTTCTCTGGCCTATGGTTGGTTAAGTTCACAATGTAATAGTGTTTGAATTTATTGGAATGCGTTGTTTACCCACCGGGCGAGGCTTAACTGTTTAAGCTGAAAGATCTCACATTGTGTCGATTGTTAAATCGTTGTCATTCGTGCAAGAATTTTCCTTAGAATTGAAATATTTTGTTGGTTTTGCTCTTGGGGCATCTTGCCGCAGATGTAAGGTGAATTTGCCATTTTTGTATTGTTGTTATGCCAAAGGCATTCATCATACTGTAAAAAATATTTCCCGGAAAAGTTATGACTGGTTGTCATATTAATTAATCATAAATATTACAAGTTACTTAATAATATATACAGAGTTACTTTTTGTCTGGTGATATTTTGGTAACTTTCGGAAAAGATCTGCCTTAGCAAATTTTTCACTTTGTGAGCGCGACAGGCGATAAATTACACCAAAATCACTCCTAACATCAGAAAGGAAATCTCTATCGGAAATTGCGTTTTTAGCTATTTTGAAATATTTTTATCGCCGATCGACGGGAAATAGGGCATATTGTACATCCTGTTCGTCAGCGAAAATTATAAATATTATTACATCACATCAATAAATACATTATTTGACAACAAGTGAAATAGAAAAGTTCGAAAGAATTCGTTCACCGAAGTTTCATATATACTTGGTAAAACAGGATCTAGTCTCAAATGCTCAATGGAGGGTTGATTTGAGTAATCAGGCGTGACGAATGACAAAATTACTTTCAAATATTGAATAATGAAATTACAATTTCACACTAGATCAGCGTTGATTGTGGTTAGATTGAAAACAAATTAGGTTCATGATCACACATGGACAATTTTGAAACTATGATAATGTTAACACTCAACGTTAAAATTATATCAAAGTCGAATTTTGATGATTCAAGGCGACCCACTGGGAGTAGAATTATTGTTGATCTGCGATCAATGATAGAGCGTGTACCATTGAAGAATGTGACTCGACAGCGCTCTACATCAATGCACCATACCTGACTCGGTATAGTAAATTTGATTTGGTCGTACGTATTTTTTCTGTATTTGTTTCGGAACAGACGATTTGGCGTCTCTAAGGAGATGCCGAATATCATTTTCAATTATACTATTGATTTTAAATAGAGTAGGTTGATGGTGGTTTGTTGCATTTTATGCGTGTGTTTATTTCTAATCATATATAAACAGAGCATTAAAATGGTGGCGGACTGTTCACCGCCGAAGCCATCCCGGTGATGTCGTTCATCTGTTAAATTTACACGCTGAACATATTCTGTTTATTTTGTTGTTATTACTATTAGATACTAGTTTCCCATAGGAGTTGTTTAGACCTTGTTACCAAATGCTCCTTTTCGGCAAATTGTCCAATTGTTGTTACATCGAATAAACTAGCAATTTAGCTGGATTTTTGTTAAATATCAAGTCGGTTTGTAGCTATACAGATGACACTACAGATGGGTGATGGTTCTTTTCGCATGTGAAATATGCTGTTAAACCACCAATTTTGTAGTTTAGATTAGGCGATGACAAGTCGAACCAGATCAACAGATTAACAATTCATCAACGGTGTTCTCTCAGATCAATATTACCGTGTAAAATTAGTACACCGTGTGCTAGAATACAAATGCTTGGTGAGTAGAGTACCAGATGTGGTGACATCGCTAGGGATTAGATTGTCAGCTTATAAAAAGAAATATATTATATATGCAGATGCCGTGATTTTCCGATTTTGATTATTATTGTAGAGGTACTTCCGCGTTCCATATGTGCAAATATTCCTGAGAATTCCTTTTCATTTTCATGGATTCTAGAGACCGAGGTTGAAGCAGCAATACAGACTACAGTACGTAGCCCAGTTGGTGTCGTATTTTACTTTATATTCCAACGTTTACTTTTAGGTTGTAATTTAAAAACATAATTAGGCTATAAAACTTCAAAAATGATATAACAAATTAGTTATACCGAGCATAAAAATCGAATTGGATAAACATTACTGATCTTACTAAAACGCAATTAACATTCCAATCCATTTAGAGACGTCAGTTCTTATCTGCACCGTCCAGGAGATCGCGTGTTTACTCAGTTCGTCATCGCATGTTTGATGACCATTGAGGCTCTTCTATCAGTGTTCTAAAGTTCAAAACACGCCCATTTGATCAGCATAGGTATAATAAATAAGCAAATGGAACAATACAGTGTATTTTTGAAGCTATGCCAGAGATGTACTTGTAGTATGTGAGTGATAGCCTGCTCCTGTTATGGAAACACATTGCCGTATTTACTGAATGCAGTACAGTTTCAAATCTGTACCAACTTCGGCAATCTTCTGTATGGAATACGTAAATAGCGTAGCTATAGGCCATGCTTAAGTTTAGTCGTAACGAACAATCAATTTGTAACTGATGCTTGGCAGCGTTTAAATTCTTGTATAAGTGTTCCTGGAACGTTAAGAAGTTCGTAATTGGAAAATAATCCCGCCCTGGGCAATTTGGCTGTGAACCATTGCGCATTGTCGGGTTGCGCATGCTGGTCAATTTTTTAAGAGCAATAAATTTTAATAAAACTGTCAACTGCACACGATCTCTGATTGAGTTCTTCAAATTCGGTAGCAAATAGCAACTAGGAGTTTACTTAATTTCATTAACAAAATTATAGATCAATAATGTAAACAATAATAACAAACCTCTGATCAAGTTGTAAAGTAAGCAAAGCATTTCTCAGAGTCGACCGCATAAAATTATTCCAGTATTCGCTGACGCCTTCGTGCTAAATAGGCCTGCTATTTGTTTATCAGCACTTGCTTACTGTGCATTTTACACCGTAATGTGCTTATCACGAGGAATTACATCTAGAAATGTTATCATTCATAATTTGACAGGTTAATACGAGTTCGTTAGTGAAATTCGCGCTTGCGCTTTCATTTTTAATCTTAATCCTCTGTTTATACATATTTAGAGCATTGCGCAAAATAGTAGCAACTCTTTCAAAATTACATTTTAGGATTAAAAACAACCATAAAACACTACGGGGAAGTTTATGGTTGACGAGTCTACGTAACGTTATGGATGGTAGCTCGGACGAACCTTTTCTCTTTACTTTGAACATTCGAGACATATTTCGTGTTTTCCCTCTATCGTAGCTCAGTTTGTTCTTATCCTCGCGAGGTTGGGTCTCCTTTGTTTTGTCGCATTTCGTGTCAAAGTCAGGGTAGGGTAAGGGAATTTGTGACATTTTTGAATATGATTGTATGAATATTATTGAATTCATTTTATTTAAATTATCATTTTATAAATTCCGGATATCAGAGGCCAGATTGAGTGTATTTTTTTGTATTGATTATCAGATATAGATTGCAAATGGTCAAAATATGAAATTTCAGTTTCTAAATTTTTCTTAAAATCAAGAATTCGAAATATCTAATTTAGTCTAATTAATTATGAGTCTAGCAATATTTGAATATATTCGAGTATTTGCAGTGGTTCAGGTTTTCATAATACTGTAATAATGCTGTTATTGCAATTTTCTCTGTTTTTTCAGAATATCATGCTTATTTAGTTTTTAATGTTGTAAGTTGTTTATTGTTGTGTCACTGTAATTCGTTGACATGATGAGCACTGTGCCATCAACTCCAGCATCTTATGGAGGTACAACCCCACTGCGAATATTAAACAAAGGACCTGAATACTTTCGGAACTCTAAACGTTCTGGTAAGTTACTTGGTGTAGATCAGTGCTTGAATAAGTGAATTAAAGTACCGTATTCCTTGACAGATTTTCTCAACCATATACCAAATGAGGAACACATGAAATTTTTTGATTATTTAGTGCCTTTCTGTAGTTCTGTAGCTTATGATGATTGTATACCGTACCTAAATAAAATTAGTATTACCATGTTTTTCAATATTGGTGAGGTGTCACTGGTCATTCAGCAAATTTTTATTTCTGATAAGCTAAAATAGCAATGTACGGTATTTCATGAAGTTCTTCTAAAAAGATGAGAGCATAACTCATAACTTACCTACCATGATAACTATTTAAAGTATTTATATGATTTATGAAAAGAGTTTTAACAAAGGATTTATTATATTCAAAACTCAAAATAATAAAGTGGCAAAGTAGTAAGTTTTGACTTGCGAGCAATCTATGAATCAATCCTTTATATACTCTTACTTGCATGCTACTTTTGAAGTCAGTTTTAAAATTGTGTATCATCGGATGATAACAGCTTGTTAATTTTCCGATAATGATTTCCTCTATTAGCTTATCATGTTCATTATAGGTATTATACATTGTATTGTATTGTATACATTAGGTATTGTACACTCCACCCATATCCCTGTTACCGCATCCACCCACCCTCCTCGCACAACTGCCTGTATAAAGGACCATATTGTACATATTTGATTTACCCTATTATAATTTATATAAATCAAAGGGGTGTATGCCGCACATCTGTGTTTTAGGCCAATATGGTCTTGTGCATACATCCCGTCTTCAGTATTTATAAGTATCTACTCTTTTATATTGCTTTTACGAGACGAATAAACATACATACATACATTAATAATTTCCCTGATGTTAAAAAATTTTCATTTTATTTATCATAGGAAATGAAAACAGAAGAAAAACTGCAACGGAGAGATTAGAGGCAGATAAATTCAAGTATGTGAAAAGTGAGGAAGTTCGACAGCGTCGTTTCACTTTGGAATTGAGGACCAGCTCGCCTCCAAATAATGACAGTACTGGAACTCAGTCAATGGGTACGGCTTCTACTGGCTCGCCTATCAATATGGAAGAGGATGATGACGTTTTAACTGGTAATGATGTTACTGGGGACTTCACTACTGAAGGCATTATGAAAGCTATGGCAAACTTCACCAAATATAACGAAGTAAAGCCACAGAATGCTACACCTGTGACATCCAGAAGAAGACAGAATCGTCTCTCCACCGAAGATGCAACTGTTTCGAAATCTGCGACAAAATTAAATAATACAGATGCTGAAGTACTACATAGTATGACGGCTACACGGAGATTACAAAGGATGAAAAATAAGGCAATACGAAATAGTGAAATCGAGAAAAATAACAGAAATTTAAATGATAATGTTACGCCTCCGAGTCCGCTTCTCACTCGACTTCGTGAAAAGCTACATAGCTCGAATAGCCAGTCAAGTAATGGATCAACTGGTAATGCCTTTACGCCTTCACCTACCATTGCATCCACCGCAGACGAGGGATCAAAAACACAACCCATTATCATGAAATCACCTGAATCTGAAAGCAAAAGTTTCATTCCAAAGAATTCCCAACAAACCAAAAGTGTCTTTGCGAGTAATGCACTTAATACTTATATAAGCAAAGCAAAAGAGGGGATTAAAAATGTTCTGAACACCGAACAACGCAAGGAACGACAACCGAGATCAGCGAATAGCTCAAATGGTCGTAGGTATCGGTCTGCAAGTGCTGGGCCGAATGTTAACAAAACAACCCAATATAATCCTAGGCTTACAAGCAGTGCAGAGATGGGTCACAATTTGTTATCCGTTACCAAAAGTGAAGCAAGTAATGCCACAAATCCTCTATTGAGTCCGAGGTCGCAACTTAAACATGTGAGACAAAATTTAAAGAAAGTCAATATTGGGTCCGAGCGTATTCACACTCGAAGGCATACAAACTCGGAGACGAGCGTACCTGCTGAATATAAGTCTGGACTCAAAAAAGTCAGTGGTACGACTTTCACTGTAAATCCTGCTTTGCAGAAAAAGTCTCAAAACTTCCAAAATGATGCGTCTAATACTGCGGAAAATGCCATGGATACAAAAGACACTCGTGTTGAAGCAAAACCACCTATGCTGCCTCGTTCGAAGAAAGAAAAAGAGAATATTCGACGAACCGCAAGTTCTGATTCTCAACCTCATTCTATTGAAAGTTTAAAAAAGAGAACTAGCTCTGTTTCCAGTAAAGAGGGAACTGAAACTGAGGGTGGGTTACTGGTATTAATAAGATTGTATTCGCTTCAGGTGGAGTGTATTTGTATCATGCATGCCCATTGTTCAGACCATTTTACCCAACCCAGGGTTTTCGAAATTAATTGGGGAAAGCAAACTCAAGAGATATAAGTATTCAATTCAGTAAATCCTCTGTACGTTTCGTTTCTTCTTATATCAAATATTTGGTTCACAGTGATAATTTTGTAGTATTACATTACATACTTATTCTTTTATATTTTTATAAATTATTTTGGTTATTGAGGGGAAAATAGTTACGGTACCTATGTTTTGAATAGAGCAAGTTTATGCAAACTCACCCCAAAGTGATGGAACTCATCTTAGAGGAACGCACTCTAGTACAATGGCTAAAAACTTGTTCAGAAATTGTGAAAAAGATCTTAGACTTAATTATTTACCCATTTATTTTCAGAATCTGGCTCGAATCTCTACAAAAATGAACCCAAACGCTCGAATTCTAACCGAGTCAAAAGGCGATCTTGGGATATATTACATGCATCTGATAATACGCAATATACCAAAACATCTGGTGAAGAGAACACACCCCCACCATCAATAGAAATGGATACCAATGCATCTCATTCTCACTCAAGACAAAGACGACCTCGCAGTTATACTTCAGATCAAAGAAAGAGCAATTTATCATCAAGAATGTCTCTGCCTGAAGGTAAATGCAAACTGTGGCAATACTTACCGTATGTTATTTATTACATTAGTGAAACTACTACAGTCTTTAAATGCAATTTGCCTTCATTAGTCACAAATTTTGTCTCTGATTAAATTTTACAAATGTGGATGTTTGATATCCCTATGATAAATATCCTTGTTCAAATGTCATCATTTTTCATCTCTTTGTGATTAATTTTCCAATTTTTCATTTTCTAGATTCAATGCAACCTTTCAAGGATGCCAATTCACAATTGTTCCAAAAAACTGGATCTAGAAAGAGCGTAGCAGAAGCTATCGAAGAAATCATAAACCCTGTTTTAGAAAACACCAAAAATAATGACATAAAAAGAAATTCTGCTGGATCACCGGACATTGCGAGCATGGATGGAAATACATTAGTTGAAAATCGAGAAAGTTTTTTCGGAAATTTAAGCACAGCGACAAATTATGGTAACGGTAGTAACGCTGGCACCAAAAATTCATCCGTGGCAGATAATATTAATTTTGTGCTCGGAGGTGCCATAGAGGGAAGTTTGGGTAGTGGTAACTCAGACAACTCAGATAAGAGACAAGATAGGTCAAAAACCTCCTCAAACTCAAGGCCTAAAAAAGAGGAGTTTTCTGCCTCTTATAGTAATAAACCAAAATCAGTGACGCAAAAATCGAGAGAAAAGGAATCATCTTCAATGGAATTGCTTGACTCATCTGGTCATTATACAAGATCTTCAACAAAAACGCCGTCATATTTTGATGGACCAAATAACACGACACATTTACGCCATGTCCCCATGCGGCAACATTCCGCCCCAATTGGGTTTGCAAACCCCCAAGATCACCCAGTCGCACCAACAACAAAATCTGACGATGGTAATCTCTCGAATTCTCCAATGTTGGCGCCAAAGTCTAGAAGAGAAGTTGTTCCCGATTACAGAAAACAACATCATCCTAAAAATGATGACACGATGAAATCCCACAATACTTCAAGTTCTTCTGGAAATGCTAATAAACCTTTTACAGGTATGTATGATTTTAGTGAGTTGCGGAACTTGGTCTCTACCTTCGCAAATATTTGACCTAAACATTGACATGTAATGCTCAAATGAAATATTTGACTTCATAAGTTGGAGAGTTATTTTGTGCTATCAAATTTAGTGTCACAATATTCCGCTTCGTTTGCTCAAAATTTCTTGTTTTTATTTTCAGCTTTAACTGCAAATGATTTGAAGCCTCGTTCCAACAAAAACAATTCAACAATTGTTCCACAATCCACTCCTATAAAGCCCACATTTGCATTCCCTGGGCAACCTTTATCACAGACAAGACACAATCCAAAAAGGCCTACTACAACACCGATATCTCCTACACTGTCACCGAACAAGCAAGCGGCTAGAATGACCCCACCGCAAACACCCACTAGGTCGTGCTCGTCCACTCCGTACTCGTCACTAAAGCGAACTCCAACATCATCGAGAAGTTCGTCTTTAAAAAGGAATAGACACAGGTTGGTCATTGCTTACTGTTGAGAAATTGTTTGAAAAATTTACATTTTTATCTGCCGATGACAAGCTCCAAATTTGCTGATTGAAATTTATTAAAATGTTTTAAAACCACATCTTGACTTTTTTGAATAAAAATGAATTTTAAATCCATTTTGACATTACTCTGCTTTTGGTAAACCTGGTTTCATAATAATAATAGTAACCTTTCGCGATAGTTTTTATAAACAACATGCCAGCACAAAGTGGATTATATTTTTAGCATATATTTTGTACACACTTTGAAAAAAGGTTTCGCTTTTGCCGTTCAATTGTAGTGGCAACATCATCATTTGATACCAATACATCAGACCTATGCGAACCGAAAACAATAATAAATCTTAATTTACGTCAAAAGGAGTTCAAATGTTATCTACGATTGAGCGCTGTAAGGCTGAGATAAATCCTATATATTCCTTATTTGCGTCGATATTATATTATGCTTGTTCAAGGATGGGCAAAGACTAATTCAGCCAAATTTGTGTGGCCATATGTATATTAAATTCATACTTGCTAGGGACATTTTCTCTATATTGCACAATTGATTTGAAATACACCTGTCTTGTATACGTTCATACATTTTCATAATCCGTTTCACAAAAGCTTGGGATTATATTTCAGCTTTCATTTGATACCTTTTTTGATAGATTATTTCAATAGCTCTATGCTATTATTGTTATGGTTTTTATTGCGTATTGTACTTTAAAACTTATACACTCCCAGACGTAGATGACTAGACACGGCTACTGTTGTATTTACTCGGTTGCCTATAGAGCCCACTTGCTATCTATGATACTTGGTATGCCAATGTCAACAAGTTATCGATACACACAATGTATCATTTATATACTCGGAATGGGGCGTGACACTATGTTGTTTTTAATGGGAAACCATTGCTTCTGTTGGAACTTTATGTATTGATTATTAATAGAAATTTATTGAATTTGTCTATTTTTTGCCAGTGTGGGTGTTTTTGGTAAATAAGCAAAAATGTTGTTTTTGGATTTGGGTGAGGTAGCTAAAATATTTTGGCAGCTGTTAGTATACACATTGGTGTTAGTTTATTCTTGGAACTGGGACAAGGGTTTAAATTTTCCATAACTTAGTAAAAAAAAATTTACAGTAGTAGTAGTATATTGGTAGTGAAAAAATCATCATCAAATTTAAATTGTCAATAAATTTCCTCATTTATTTACTCTGTGACTCTTAATGTGACGCATCTTGAAATGAAGTTTTCCTACTTGACCTTTTCGTAATCATTCAGCTTTAAATGGATTTTGAAAAAATCCATTATGGAAGAAATAAACTTTCAATTTAAGAAAAAAGTAGGAATTGAAAAATAAAATTACTTGAAACGTTTCAAATTCAAATGTGCCCGGATGCAATGGTTTGTTGCTTTGGATATGCAATGTGGTGTTGTTTGATCCAACCTAGTAGGACTACCGGTAATTATCATCTTCATGCTATTTTGGCCTTCAATATTCAATTTTACCCATATTGATGTTTACTTTATTCAGATCAAAGTCAGATGTCCTTTCTCATCAGCATGAACTTGATAGGTTCTTTTCAACAATGGGAATGGAAGAATATATGAATTTGGCACATCATTCTTCTATGAATGACACTTTGTATTCAAATCATTTGAGCAGCGAGTCGGATTTTTCGTTTGCAGGTTTGTGCAATTAGAATTTTAATGTTTTATTTTCTAAATTTTTTGCACATTTCAAGAAAAGTTTTGGCTGAACAGTAATATATATACATTGATTGTAAGATAAATGCCATTTCAATAGGTTGTTATCATCAGTACTTTGCTATAAAATTCACCGTTTTTTGTGAACTAATTACAAGTAAAATTTTGCAAGTTGATAAATAAGGTTCATTTAGGTTAACAGACCTAAATCAGTCAAAGCTCCTCGAACCTACTAAGGTCTGAGTGTTTTTATTTCTTCTTCTTCTAGGAGCATCTGCTTATGTTAGGGATAGTCCCGATGAAGCCATGGATGTTGACCCTGTTACAACTGCATTAATACGCGGCCCTCAATCTGTCAGTATCATTGAGAAAAACGCTCGAGTTATGAGATGGTTGATGACTTGTCAAAAGAACAGAAAATCAAGTACCACAACAAAACTCTCTCGTGAAAACCTCTCACAATCACCGCCAGTGTCTCCCTCGACTCGAGAGCCGATAAAACCATCTCATAAATTATTATCGACATACCCGCCTGCATCTGCCCCAATTTCCAATGGGTACCACTCTGGGTCACACCAAGCCCCTCTTTTGAGACCAAGCTCTCAACCTAATACGAGCTCATACCCTTCTTCACCCCCTCCGATACCCCCAAGAACATATCAGCGACAACATGCAGTATACCAACCACCACATAACGATGCAATTCTTGTCGGAGCACCTAAGGAGTCGAATGTTTGATGTGCTACAGTTTTTTAAATGTGAGTGTAAAATTTTGTTTGAAATGATAATTAGTTGTGTAGAGATTTACTGTGGGAAAAAACCACAGGCTTAGTCTGTCACTGTTGGGTGCACTTTTATATTGCATTTACAATGTTTACATTATAGTACAGTGATTCCCGGTTATCATATTTCGTTCCATATATATATAAAACTCCTATTCTATTATTTGTTCAATTTTTGAAGAATCCCTAGCCAGTTTTTTTGGCAACTCACTATGCTTTTGCACAGTTAGTATGGTTTATATGGTGTCTATGATGATTATTTAAATATTTCCAAATAACGGATCAACATCAGTAAAACCGCACCAAATATGAAGCACTATTTCTGAATTTCCACCTCGTAAATAACAAAATTCCTGAGAAACGCTGTTATAGGGTATCACAGTTCATTTTTTTGGTTTAATGAATGCCATTTTTTAGAGCAATTTTACAACACGAGTAAACATGTTATACATAACCAACCTATATTACACCATAAATAAAGTAATATTGAAAACCAATAAGAATGAGATATTTGTATATTGCGGATTAAAATAATAAGATATTATCCAGCAAAGTGGATAATTTGTATAATTGTTCCCCAGATTGAAAAATTTTGGCAAAAGTATGATTACATCACTTAGAAGTAATAAAGACGGTATTTTCCGGTTGGCGTTGTGTTTCTCATTTAGCTGAAACTTGAAACCAATTTACACCTGAAAATTACCTTGAATGACAAAATTTAGTTATATTCTCACCGATCACGGGAGATGGGTAACTATAAAGTAAACTCTTTATTCACTAAAAAAAGCACAAAGTTTATTTTTTAATTTTTATGTTATTTGAACTTTATGTATAAATTTTGTACTTTCTAAAGTAAGTTTCTAAAGTACGATAAATTGAATTGGGTAAAAAAAATCTTTGATGTGCTTCATTCAACTGATGTTGGGCATATAAAGGTGTATTCAATGAAATAGAAAAATTTATATAAACAATGATTGGAATAAAATAAATCTGGTTAAGAATCCTAACTTGGGAAGATTTGTTGGGAACTGAATTCATAACAAAATTTTGATGCCAACAGGACTATTTTTTGCCTATATGACTTGTAAAAATATACTGCATTTTGTGCGTCTTCCAAGCATTATTTCTTAGTGATCTATAGACCAACCGTAGCTTTCAACTTTTCATTCAATATTATTTATAAGTAGAGACAATGTGAATGACTTATGAATGCAATAGTGCATAATAGTTTCCGCGTATATAAAAAAGGGTTATCAAGTTACCCATGGATATGTACACCCACACAATATTCTTGCGTTCATGCGGAAAATACTTCCAGTTTGTGTGGAGCGTTAAACCGCGATAATAACTTAGCATAAATGGTGGCTTGTCGATTACCATGTAAAAATATTTTAAATAAAATTCAATTTTTTGTGAGAATTTTATGGATCATAACACAAAGTGGTATAAATTTGTTTTTTCTTTCAATTATGGCCTGCAAAAGAGACTTAGTGGAAAATTACCTCATTTGATAAATTCATGAGGGTTTTCCTAACATAGATATTACCTTTTTTCTAATGTTAATTTTTGGTTATGAGCTCTCTCAGGTTTCCTCATTTGTGTATATTCATTACACATGCATCTAAGATACTAATAATAGGTTGTGACTTTTGGGTTCAATGTATCCGGCTAATTGCCAAAAAAATAATTGAACCCAATTATAGACTGTTATTATTCACAAGTATGTGTTAGGTAATACCAGAACAGTTCGGTATAGAATTTTTGAATTATTTACATTATGAAAAAATTTGAATGATAAAAAAATTTAAATTCTGCTACCCAAGTTTTTCAAATAAAAACTTCATTTTACTGTCTACATGGCAGACTTTTTCTGAATATTGCATAATATCGTTTTAATTTCCATACACCTACATTAGTTTCACGAACAGTATGAACTTGTGGAGGGATGTTATGGCTGATTTCACTTTTCCTCAACTGGTGGTCAGAAAGACAATTTTGTTCCCTTCTAAATTAAGTATAACTGTAACACATTCTTTCACAGCCAAAAAAATGCGACTTTGTGGTATAAATAATATTTTGGGCCAAGTATGTATAAATAAAATCCGAGGTTTATTAGTTTAATTCTTCCCCAACCCATGCCTGGTCTTAGAAAAATGATATTAAACAGGTCTAAACGTGTCTGCAATGCATGGAATGTGACATTAAAGAGTGTTACATACATTGCTTAGGCTGTGTTTACTTTCGTAAATCAACCATGGTGCATGGTAATGCTACCTCGTCAACCAGTTAAAAGGTCCTGCCTTATGAATGTATGTATGCACAGAGATACACCAATGTGAAAATTTTAATAAAAAAATTTTTTATTTTATTTTTTCAACTTTTTGACTCATGTATGATACGGGTAATAATATTAGTACAAAAAGGTAAACGTTATATGAAATTGGGAATATGAAGGTGCTTGTGTTGTGTAGTACATATCAATTGATCAAAAAAGCTATTTTGTTTCAGTAATATATCGTTGAAATCGATTCTGACCAATCTGATATAAAACAGTTTCGAACATTTACATTTGTTTATATTATTCAATTCGCCTTAGGTTTTCGAATCATGTCTGACCAACCATAATTTAATTGTAAAATTTATTTTATGATCTATTAGGTTTGACCCTACCAACCATTCTAATATATCTCTGCAATTTATTATAGAAAGGTGATATAGTATGCTTGTTTTATGGATGGTTCATAATTGATAAAACAAGGTTTAAATAATTGGAACAATGATTGTTTTCATTTGATGCGGTTTAAATGATAACAGACTTTAGCTTCAGCGTCTGTTTACAATAGCAACAAGTATTTATACCACTGTTTCCTTATATGGGATTTACATCGGAATCTTTTGACTTGAAGAGGTCAAAATGCGGAATTTTTAACCTTTGTAAATGCATTAACGAAATTTGATCCGTCGTATGATCCTGTTCCCAAATTTTGACATGCTTCAACGAATTTTGTCACGATCGCTGAGTTTTATAACAGCACAGTTGAAATTTAGTAAATTTACACGAAAAGGAAAATCAATTTTGCAAAATTGCAAGCTGTCTAGTAGTATATAAAAATGAAGGAATTTATTGCATTATGGTTTTATAGTCACTAAATGTATTTGCATTCTATTCTCTACATCCTTTATTGCAGTATGGTTTTATAGTCACTAATGTATTTGCTTTGTACGTCCTATAAGTAGTAAAAATAGGTATTGGTGGTAAGATGACTTCTCCACTTTGTGTAAGAATAGTGGGACCTCTTGAAGTATGCGCACCACGATGGCGCACAACCTGAACTTGTGTACCAGGTTAGGGTTCAGGTTATGCGACATCTTGGTGCGCATACTTCAGGAGCACCGTGTTTACTTGCTTTTTATTGGGAGCTGAGTACACTTATGTAATTGTAATTGGGGCATAGCATGCAGTGAAATGAAAAACAAATTCTTGAAGTGGTACATTTCATATATAGGTATTCAAAATTTGTATGAAATAGTTGAAATCATAAAAAAGAACGCAATGCACAAACATATAGACACGAAGGCCGAAATGAAGGATTATCAAATCTTTTATAGTACCGCTAGTCCTACTTATAGAAAACTCCCTGAATTCACTGACCACCAGATCGCCGAAATCGATCGTGTAACTGGCCATGTTGCGCAATTTCTTATTTTGATGATATCACCACACACAAAAAATGAATCCCATAGTCATAGAGTCCATAGAAATTTTTGAAATAAATAAAAGTATCAGCTTTCTAGCAATAACAAGAGTCAAAGCAATCTATCCAATATATGAATAGAAAACACTTTTTCCACAACAAGTCAGTAGTTCGTTTTTACACAATACCGAAATACACTACACACATACAGAATGTCAAAAGATGTCATTTCAGGTAAATAAAATACTAGTCATTGAGCAGCGACAATCGTGGATTAAACCTAACGGTAATTCATACTGGTAAAGAAGATAAAAATTGAACGATATATATTGAAAAAAAGTTTGTGCCAAAGTATGTCAGGACCAACCTGATATATCCAAAAGATGTCCTATACCAGCCAAGTAATAAAAAGCCAACTTTGAATTGAAAAAATTTCAGACTGCGAACTCATGCTATTGTTTGCATTCATATTATGTCGACGAATACCATTTCTTTTGTTTTAAAGCGTCTCGGCAGTCGGCATGTTGTCAATGTATATTGTTATAGATTCCACAAATTCTTTACTATTGTAAAATATGTCTAGTCAAGTATGCCATGTGCTGAGGACAAGATGACATCACTTTTATGCCATTGTTTTTTCGATACCTATTCATTATGATGTCATAAAACAGCTGCAATAAATTTTTTAAAATTTTGTGATGTAATTGGATCCCTGTTTAAGTTGAAAAATCGTTCCACCTGGAATGTCTTTTGCTATATTACCCTTATATGGGTATATTAGTGGGAGCAATCAAAAAAAGCACTAGAAGCTCAGAAATACTTGATGTTGTGTTATAAAATTCTGCCTCAAGTAAACAATAATTAGAAAATGAACCTTAGATTATTTTTCTTGTATTTAATATATTGCTGTTACTTGAGTTAGTAACATGAAATTGTAGATTTTTATTCTAAAACTTTTTCCTATTTTTCAGTGCTTGAATGAATTTACAATATTGATTCAAAAAAGATAGATGCTGCTACATTTCATCATATCGTATAGAGACACCAAACTTCAACAAGAAAACTCCCAAACTATTGAATTCTGACCAAAATGTTGACAATTTAAATCATTATATATATTATGTATATGTTATAGTTGTTTCATACTGGATTCAATAAAAAGTTGCTTTGAACGAATTCATCGTATTGATTATGACATAATAGTGCACTAAAATTTAGATGCTTATTGCACAATTTGAATTTTGTTATGATGTGTTTAGGGTGTGATAAAATTTCACGTAATTTTTGGATAAACAATATGACAACCGCACTTATTATTAGTTCGAAATCCAAGCAACTAATTGAATGTCTATACCAGAATTTAAAAAGAAATATCAGTGCTTGATAATATGTTGTTTCATACATATCTCCATGAATATAATGTTTTGTTATGAATGAATGATCTCCAGTCTTCCCCAACGTTATATATATTGTCTTGATATTTTTGATAATGTTCCTTTTAAATGGTAGAATTGCCTAGAGGTTTGTGGTAAAGGATCAATTATATGAAAGTCTTGTTATTGATAAAGTACATTTAGCAACTGCTTGGTGATTTAAAAATGTCACACATCCTGTTTAAGATTTTTTTTCCGTGTATTTGACATCATGAATTTGTTGCCTCAAAAATATACAATTAATCTAATTGGAAATTTTTCATGTAGTTGATGACAATAACTTGGAAAGGGCAAAATTCTCGACGTTTTAGCACAAACAACAGACATCTACTAACTCTTGCAAAATTGGTTTCTATGTGTATAATATTAGAATTTGCATGAAATATCCTATCCCCTTTTTTATATTTATGACAAAAATGCATCGCCTTGTTTTTATCATTATTTTTATTGTAGCCTATGTTTTATTAAAAAAATTTTACACTGTAATATTATTGCTCTATCAGATCATAAAATCACAGAAAATATGTTTTTGTTACCTTATGCTGTAACAATGCCACATTAAAGCCTGTATTTCGATTAGTTTGGTATTCAAGATTTTTTTCTCCCTTTCCTATTATGATGTTTCGAATATTATATTTTATAGCCAGATTGTTGTAACAAAAGGTCATTCCAATTTTATGAATAGAAAGGAGCCTTGGTTTGAGTATTACTCAGACAGTTTAATATCTTTGCCTTTATAAAGGACTATATCCCTGCCATACATAGAATATTGTACCCGTTTTGTTTTTATTTTATATATGAAGTGTGTGCATGTGGGGATGATCATGTATGTTTTATCTTTTATCGTATTATTCATTTTTCTTCTCTTTTATCGGAATTTACAATATAGTTTCATGTGATTTAATTTGTTGATTTGTAGTTTGTTCAGGCACCTGGGTAGTTGGACACATAAGAACAACCTATTCATATTAGCTTTTTATGTACAAAAAATATATTGTCAGAAAATAATTTTAGTTAGTTGCCACAGTAACTATTGTGATTTGGAGGGTGATTGAATTTTTGATGAAGATATAAGCAGTGGTGTGAAGATATGCAGCTAGGTAGCATCCAAATTGCTCTCCTATTTACATCCACTGCAATATACCGGAGGTGAATACAAAAGTGATTATATATTCAAGTAGGATAGGATTTACATATTTATCCTGGGGGAGAGGAAGGCCGATAAGACTGCTCAATCTTATGGCGAACCATGTCCTCTCTTCCGGTTGTCAGTCAGGTATGGCCAGCGATTGCGTGAACTACCCTACGGCGGCGAAGAGTCTGGCAATCCTCTCGCACATTACTATCCCCGCATAGGATTCGGACCTGCAAACCCACGCAGAGTAATCAGAGGTGCGGTGGTGAACGTATCCCTAACGCCTAACACGATATGCCACACCGCCAAGCATAGTTTTTTTATGACCGGGTTCTTTGGATGTAAAGGTTGATTGGTCATGAATCCACAAGTGGACTACCTTAATTAAGTCGAGAGAAAGACATTTCGCTGTACAGTATTCCTGACAAGATAATGGCATGGTGTTCCCAACTGTGTGACACCCACTCAATGGTAATTTCTAATGCCAGTTTCCATGAGATTCATTCACCCTTCAATTTTCATTGTAAGTTTTTTTTTCATTGTTACAATGTGCATAAACATGGCCAGTCCCCGCACTGACCAGGTTTCAACATCCCTCTTGCGTTGCATTTACGTAACAAAGATATACCGTAAGAAAGAATTCAACTTTTTTTGTAAAAATATATTCATACAAATATTAGGTATCACTAAATAAAATACCTTGATATCAAATTACGTTCAATTGCTAATCAAAATAAAACCATTGGTTTACCAAAATAATACAACCAGAAATGAAATTATTCTATACTGATACTCTATTGCAGTAGAAAGAATACTTTGTTATAATAGTTTTGAGTTGATTTCCAAACCCTTTTTTCTGAATTTCATCAGTTAAAATCAGAACCGACACCAAAATTTTTATAGTCAAAAATTAGTCTTCCAGTGTCTGGTGTTGGAGTTTTTACTTTTCAAACTAAAAAGCCAGGAAGCAATATGGCCACAATATTTGTCAAATGGAATTTATTGTTTCTGACTAGCTTGAAAGTCTTGACAAAACCTATCTTGGACTTGGACTTGAAGCTGAGGCCAATCCAAGCTACCAGAAGTTTTAGTGGCTCCAGTTCTGAAGAAGCTCAACTCCCAAGTTAGCCACAGTTTGATTATACTGGAGCGAACCATTCTGATTTCAAACCAAATATCCGGTTCTGAATGTGACATGTATGCTTGAGAGTTGAGTAATGAATAAGTTTGATATAAAAAAGGGTCAGGAATCCAACTAAAGCTTCAGTCACTTGATATTCATGTAAAACAGAGATGTTCACATCATCTAAATAGTTTAATCTAAATTCCACTCTACATGCTAAAGTCCCTTTATTATCTTCACTTTTGGTTGTTGCACTACTGTATTGAAGACATTTCCTTCAAATACAGTTCTATTAATTCGTTTAAACACCCATAAAAAGAGCAACAAAATGGTGGCATATTGGACCCATCCCCATTTGATTAATTCCCAAAATCCAGGCTGGTAGGTTATCACTTCTGTAGGATAAAAGACATCGAGTTGTAAAACAAAGGGCTCCGTGGGCAAACGCCCAGGCGTCCATACACTGTATGAGTTTTCAAGTCTTGTGGTAATGTTTCTTTGGGAGTAGTTTTTTAGGATAGTAAATAAATCATAGCTTGAAGCAAAAGTGCTTGTCGAATCAATGATAGGAGTATTGAATCTAATGTCAGCGCCTCTGTGATATAACGGCACTCTTTGATACAATCCAAGATCACCAGTCACCTTCGCCCCCGCCCCACTTAAAGCTGAAGATTGTGATACGTAAACCATGCTCTCCATTTCAAATGTTGACATTCTGTATAACTTGTAGTCAAAGATAACCAGAAGGTGAACACTAACAACCTGTTCTGAAGATGTGAGGGGAACACTTATATTAAGCGAGAGTTGATCGTTAAGACCATCACGATTATTATCAAGTTCAAAGGAAGACACTTGGGGAACACGTAAATTGCCTTGTAATAAATTGTTAAAATTTGCATACGTGCTCCATGCAAAATATTCACCAGGGTTTGCAAGTTCCGCCACGATTAGAAGTTGTTTCTTATAAGTGACGTCTGGTTGTTCTTGATATGTGTTTGTTGTAATCCAAAATCCTTGGCTTCTGTATGCAATTAGCAGAGGTGGTATGAAAGTTAAAACTATCACTGCCAGGACATAGAAGGAAGCTTTCGACCAAACACTCGACTTGTATCGATACAATGCAGGTAATGAGTAGATCTCAAACACGGCCATCTTGAATCTAAGAAAAATAAACAAGAAATAGCTGATGAAAATAAAAAATCATTACAGAATCAGAAAAGCGAATAAAGTTGAATGTACGGAAGTAAGGTTTGAAACATACAGAATTTTAACAGAATGGTGTCGCTGGAGGTAAACTGGGGGTTCAGGGATCCCCGGGGGTCCGTGACAACTGCACAGGGTACGAAACGATACGAAAAAAGTCTGATAGATATTTAATGATTGATTTCAATCAAAGAGCAATTGCAAATTTTTGGTTGAGCGTTGAGGACGAATATCCATTGCTGTCAGAAAAGGCAATTAAAAGTTTATTGCCTTTTCAACGTCCTACATGCGTGAGGCAGCATTTTCAACTCTTATAAATATGATGACAAAATACAGGTCAAGACTTGCCGTCCGATCAATTAGAATCGAAAAATTGTGCAGTGAAAAGCAACCTAATCCATAACATTAATGCTGTTCGTGTTGTCGTGTTGTAAATGGAACATTATCTTTATTAAGACGCTTAAATTGATACGGCATAGCGCAGGAGTCCATCGAAATTAAGATTCTCAAATAGGGGTCCGTGGCCCAAAAAGTTTAGGAAACTCTGATTTAGATATTATGCAAAAATAAAAAGAATATATTTGCCACTCCCACACCTAACTTATATCTGTAGGCCTATATCAATAATTTCTGATTTTTTTTTTCAATTTCTTAATCATTGACTACCAAATTAATAAACCTAAGTAAACAGAAAAAAATGATATTTATCAAAAATATCGCCAAGCTAATTATTGTTGAAGTTTACTCCATCCAAATTGCCAAAGGCAGAAAGGTGGCAAGATCACCTTTCACTTAAACATATTTTAATCTTACCAGTGATCCTATGATCTCAGGTGTAATGTAAAAGTCAGGTACCAATCTTGGATGTTAATTTAACTACCGTATATCACTAACATTTTACTAAATTTGACAGAAACTGAGAAAGCCCACAACAAAGTTTTATTTTATAATTGGCTAACCGCTTGAAATAATGTACACAAATGCAAAAACGGGGAAATTTTAATCACGTGGGGCTAGTAGAGAGTCAGAAGTAAAAAAGATGTTAGGTAACACAGGTATAAATGAACGATTTTTAACTACATTATTTCAAAGCAGTGACATAAATAAAATTTGAAAGTTATTCAAATTTTTGACATCGTTTTACATTTTAAAATTGGTAATGTGTTTGACGCAGAGTGGCAAGCAGTTGATGAACAGTACCGGATATGTGGTAACATCATTTTTTGAATGCAATGCGTAATTTTTTATAATTCGCTTATTCAATTAATAAAAACGGCATGGCAATGTAATGAGAGGGACGAATAAAATTTTTCTGATTTGCGCAATATTGTTTTTACGGTCTGTGGCCAACCGGAAGAAACTCTATACACCACCAAACAGCTTTGCCAATGCATCATGCTGGCAGCGATTTCGAAAATCGACGTTTCGTGGTCTGTTCAGCACATTACTGCATTAAGGTGTATCCAGCACTTTCTTTCTTTTATTTATTTTAAATTTATTATTTGTTCATAATCAAAATGTTTTGCATACTAATAATGATGTTGGGGTTGATATTTACCGAAATTTCCAATGTGTGGATAAGTACCGGTACCTTACCGCACCGGTTGAGTGAAAAAATTTTGAAGGTTTACTGGGGTCTCCCTAAAACCAGGCACTTGCGAATCCTGGCACTTTGATATATTTTTTATTTTTACTGTATGGTACCGGTCCTGAAATTTAACCGTTCCGCAAGCCAACAAGCAAAAAAGGGTTAAAACCACTGGTCTAGGTGGCCATACAGCCATATTTTGCGGCGGAGAAGCTAAAATGATTGATTGATTGAAAAATATACTGGTAGACTAGATGTTTTGTTTGTGTTTTACAAATTATTTTCTGATTTTTCCAATGCAGTGTTGTGCTAGATCAGGTGACAGTTTAACAGCCTAATAACCATGTTACAGTCATTAAGAGTGACGGTTACTAATCAGATTCCTCTGACTATTCTCAAAGTCACAACAAATTCATGCATTTCATGTCGAACCAGGCGTTCAGCAAAACTAGTTAATAACGATATTCCAGAAGAAAGAAGACGCATAAGTCAACTTGATGACTTGGATGAGACAATGCTACGGCCACAATATAGACATATCGAAGCACTGAAAACCGCCCCGGAAAATGTGCGTAAAATTTTTACCCTAGAATTTGGTACAAAAGAGGAAAAGTTGGAATCAAAATTTCTTCAATATGGTGAACAATTGCAAAGACACAAATATGACTTTGATTCGCTTGAAATGGAAATCGCTGGTCTAACCATCACAATTCGTAAAGACCAAGAGGAGTATGTGAAACGAGAATATTTAAGTGGATATCTTGAAAAAAAATTACAAAAAAAAAGAAAACTCAGGAACGACTTGTTGCTAAAACTGAGACAAATGAATTTTGAACGATATTGTCTTGTTGTAAAAGTTTTAGATATAAATCTAATACATTGGCCTGATTATGATGTTAAATTAACGAAGCGTGCTGAGGAAACCATGGATATGAAATTCCGGACTTTCGCTGAAATTGAGCGGGAAAAGCATGAAAGTGCTAAACGCAGAGATGAAGTAGCACAACTCCAAGCAAAATTTGAAGAGAAAATTAAATCAGGAGAATTGGTTATACCGTGATATACCTACACTTGTAATCCTTGGTTAATCATAAATCAGCCACGTCCTGGCTTCGAAGAAATGATAGAGTTTTATTCAGAGTTTTATTTTAACTCAGACTCCAGCTATACTTTCCAAAACATAATTGCTTGACCTCTGCTTTCTGACCCTAATATTCAGTTTGAGAAACTATTCAAGTGATCCGATTACAGTAATTGGTGTAATAAAGATAAGATAATTAAAAAAAAAATGTTGTTTGTGGTATTTTCACATTGTCAAGTTGCTCTGGGTGTGCTGGATGTCTTCGTAATATGAAATATGTAAATCTCCATTTATTTGAAAAATGCAGAACTGTTAGTTCATTATCTATTTGACATCCTATATTAGAGACTTCATGCCTCCATCATTCAAGCGGTCAATGCCTAGAGGTTTGAACCAAAAAAAAGTGCAGTCTTTTTAAACTCAATAAACATAAAATTTATTTTAATTTTTCAGATAAATATTTAGCCCCTCTACAACTGATGAATATTGGTTCATCACCTTTGAATTGCTTCTCTGGCTTTCTTATTTTTCTAATATGATTCGTTTCTTAATATTTCAGACTCATTAAGAGTAAAATTTTATAATACACTATGGCGGAACTCACCAAACAAGAAGAAGATTGGGATGGTTTGTTAATGCACATTGCAACACAGCACCAAGGTGGTGTTCACCAACTACTAGACACATTTTTTGCGTTTTTGAGACGAAAAACAGACTTTTTTGTCGGAGGAGAGCCAGGAGATGCGGAGAAAGCTGTAATCACTGCAATGGAGAGACAACAAAAATTAGCACTCAGTAACAAATTGAAAAAGGAAGAAAAAAAAGTAAAAGAACTGAAAAGGAAAGAAGAGGAAGAAAAAAAGAAGCAAAGACAAAAGGAAATAGAGGAAAGCAAAATAGTTGAAGTTACGGAAGAAGAAGCTCGACAAATACAAGAATCAGCGAAGAAAAAAGAAAAGGAGAATTCAGTAAATGTCAATAGTAAGATGGAAAACGGGGACTCTGCTGAAAAAGAGGTAAAAGAAGAAACCAAGAAAGACAATGAAGAAGAAGAAGAGGATGAAGCTGATAAAGGAAAACTTCGACCGAACGCTGGCAATGGTGCTGATTTACCAAATTATTCTTGGACACAGAGTTTACAAGAGTTGGAACTAAAAGTGCCATTCAATGTGAATTTTCCTGTGCGATCGAAAGATGTTGTTTGTGAAATCGAACGCAAACATTTGAAAGTTGGTCTAAAAGGTCATCCTCCTATCATTGATGGCGAATCGTATGCGGAAATTAAAGTTGATGAATCATATTGGACAATAACAGACAGAAAAGCACTCCTTGTTAATATTGAAAAAGTTGATAAGATGAGCTGGTGGAGTCGACTTGTGACCTCTGACCCTGAAATCAATACACGAAAAGTCAACCCTGAGAATTCCAAGTTGAGTGATCTTGATGGGGAAACAAGAGGAATGGTAGAAAAGATGATGTTCGATCAACGTCAAAAAGAAATGGGTCTTCCGACATCGGAAGAACAAAAGAAGCAAGACATGTTGAAAAAATTTATGGCGCAACATCCGGAAATGGACTTTTCGAAAGCTAAATTTTCATGATTTAACCCTAAATCCATATGATGAACCTGGTATCCTCATAAATGCAACAGATGGTTAGATAACCCTAATCATATTCACATGAAATTTGTGATTTATACTTTGCAATGTATTATTTTGTAACTGTATGATATTTTACATTCCATTGTTGAATGAATAATCATACATAATCTGTAATTTAATTGCACAAATGCTGTCAAACTGAATATGATAGAACTGTTGCATATGTTGATGATTGGTCTCAAGTTTTGAGAGAATGAAAAGTTTGTTATTAAATGCTTCATTTTTTTATTCACATTTTTCTGGTCATTCTTCTTACTACTGCGGGTTAATTCAGAATTTTTAACTGTATATCAAGTGGAAATGTTGAGTTTTCAGACATATGACAATTTCAATGCCGTCAATGGGTTTTTGTTTGTTTGGATAAAGTAGTCCAAGACAGGTAAATTCATTTTAAACTGCAATGTGAGTGCACCAATAACGACGAGAAGTCGATCACATTCAACCTTTGTAATATTAGAGTAGTTTAAATTAAGAGCCCTAGGAGAAGTATTTTAAGATTAAGTGCCATTGGTTATTTCTAATAAAATTTTAGTATACACAAATGACATATTACAGCTACTTGGAAGTTCATCAAATTATACTCCGATGCAGGTGTTACTAGGATATTGGGTGTAGTTTAGTACCACGTGTACTTCAGATCGTGCCACAACCATTTTTGTTTGTTATTCCTAACCCCACCTGACTACGTCATCCGAAAATTACGTCACTACGATTTCACGATACGATAGAGCTTGCCAAAGTATCGCTGACTTACAATCGCCACAAATGGAATCTGCGCCGACGATAACGAATTATCTCATATCGGGGTCGATACGACGAGAGAAATAGATGGTCATCGGCTCGTTTTGGACGATAATCCGTATATTTTTGCGGGCCCTAGTATGTCGCAGTGACGTAATGTGGTACTTAACTACACCAGACCAAACCCAGACGTGTACGAACCGTTGAATTACAGGTTTTCCATTTTTCTTATTCAGTTCGGATCGATATGTGGACGTTAAGTTAGCACAAGGATGCTTGAACGCAGGAATTAGGATGACGAAGATCCTGTTTTGTTTGCACAAATTAGACTATAACATAAACGGAAGAATACAGATATCTTGTGGAGAGAAGTTTTTTGAGTTATTTTTGATTATACTCAGATGATGTTGTTGTATCATCGCATTTTTGTTACACTTCCGTCTCATTTCTTCATTCCTTGTAGCCAGTTTATCGCTCCGGTTGTATTGTATGTGTGACTGCCCGATGGAGACAGAAGACTACACCTCTAGTCCACCTCCATGTACAATTAGAATATCGCTCAACGGAAGGTGCGACAAAACATCTCAGCTGTCTGACACCTCGTAAAACAGTTGTCGAAATGTTACTTCGTGCTAAATGGAATCGCAGGTAAGGAGCGAGAAGACTATCTTAAATAATAAAGTATCTCGTGTTCAGAATATTATTCACATGTGTGTGTCTTGTGAGTAAGAAGTCTAATAAGCGTCGTAAAATGTACTAGGATTTGTTGCGAAATATTTTTAGCAATACCAGAAAGGGCAGTCCTCTTCAAACGCGACAGGAACTATGTATATAAAAAAGTCGAAAACAGCATAAAAATATTTCTTTAGCTTCATGATATCATTAATCTATTATTCATTTTAGAATGTTTTGCTTTTGGTGTTTTTTTGGTTTTTATTCAATTATATTTTCAAGTACAATCCCAGTAATAAGGAATAGTAAGGCACGTGCGCAACGGATACTATTAATACAGAGAAACAAACAACTATATATATGTATTTCGCCAAGATGTAGATGAAATAATGTGTTGTTGCCGACAGAACTTCGATTGCCTTGTTTATGTTTGAAATAGACTCGGCCTGCTTTCGATTGCTTCGAGTTTGTTTTCAGTTTACTGTTAATCTTAAAATTTCCATTGCAGTTTATCGAATATTTCGAGCAACATTTCAGTCTAGTAAACCTAATCAGGAACTTATCAACATGGCAACTTTGGACCTTTCTATGTTTCAAGATGCAGCACCGTACCTTCGCATGTCCCAGCAGGAATTATTGGAATTGCAAACTCAAAAACCCGACGGTAAGCGCAAAATATTTTGGTGTAGCCATTTTTGGATGGTGTATTTACACGATTGAGAAGTGCTGAAAATTGCAGCTGGCATTTCTTAACTCTTGATGAAAGAAATCAATTGAAGTCGTTTAGGCAGATAACAAAGCAATTTTGTTTCCGGAAGGGGCGTGTATTGAATTTAGAAATTTAGATTAATATTCTGTTTATTTTTACAGGTAAGAAATACGCTTGGGTTCCCGCCGAGAATGACAGTTATTTGAGAGGAGAAGTTCTTTCAATTGAAGGTGGAAAATGCAAGCTAAAATCTTTAGACGGCGAAAAGGTTTGTACACAGATTAATGAATAAAGAAATTAAAAAAAAATTATCATTGTCAAGTTTTGTAATATATATATATATCCAATGTTGGCAATATTGAATGATCATTGGTCAAAATATAATTTTCGTCCTAATTCTCTTAGCACGAATCGACATATTCTTCCGATGCAAATTTCATATATAGCAACCTTTTTCATAACAAATGCGAAGATTTGCAAATAGCATGCTAAATGACATCCTACGTAGTGGCTTCATCGGTTTTAAACAATTCAAGCTTCAATGCTGAGAAAATTTGATTTTGATTTGAAAGCAGCAACGACTATTTTCTTTAAATATTCTAACTTTTTTATGCATTCATGCGAAATCAACGCTATTCGACATTGGGTTCCATCGAACTTGAACCGGCAATTCCAATACTGATCTCTGATGATATAGAATTTTACAAGAATTAATTTCTTTACATTCCATATTGTTAAATAACTTCTTATATTTGTTTGTATACAGGAAGTCACATTGAAAGAAGAAGACCTTCAGCAAATGAATCCCCCTCGGTACAACAAATGCGAAGACATGGTTAACATGACCCATCTCAATGAAGCTTCTGTACTGAATAACTTGAAAGATCGTTATGAAGCATTCATGATTTACGTATGTATTTATGATATCAGAGTAGGCCTAGTTATCTTTTTCCGTTAGTTTGGAATAGCTACTAAAGATTTTATCAATCTACTTTTACTTTTTTTCAGACGTACTCCGGTCTTTTCTGCGTCACTGTCAACCCGTACAAGATGTTGCCAGTGTACGCACCCTACGTCATCCAAGCCTACAAAGGAAAGAGGCGAACTGAAATGCCTCCTCACTTGTACTCTATTGCTGACAATGCATACACCGAAATGTTGATGAGTGAGTTTAAAATTTGATAAAAATAACCTTTATAACGTTAATAAAAATAACGTTTATACGAAAACTTGAAAAATTTCTCTTCATGCATTTGCTAATGAGTGAATTTGAACTGATACCTTTCATTGCTGATTGCTTAATTAAATAGTTAAAATGTCAATTTTAGGGGGCTGGACGATTTTCTGTGCCCATGTGCGGACGCTTTACTTAGACAGCATGCTATACCAAATATCGTCCTACACTCTACAAGTCAATAAGTCGCTTCACATGAAATTATTTTGTGTTGTTGATTTGTCTATTTTAGAAATGATTTTTACTAATAAACGTTTTCATCATTTTTAGATCGCGAGAATCAGTCTATGTTGATCACGTAAGTTTGTTTTTTATAAAATCAATTATCAAATATCAATGTCTTATCAGTTGTTTTCAAAACTAAATATTCAATTCGAATGTTTTTTATTTTATTTTCAGTGGTGAATCTGGTGCAGGAAAGACTGTCAATACCAAGAAAGTCATCCAATACTTTGCTTTGGTTGCTGCTACTGCAGAGTCCATGAACCAGAATAGTGATAAGGTGGGCTGGGCTGTAATATTGAGTTACAATTAAATATAAACATAGATTCTATCGGACTAAAGGGATTCTCATCTAGTTTTCGATTTGTGTTCTCGTCTCCTGGTTTAGATTGATAGATTAGTTCACTAGATATGGAGTTATGTTTCAACTATTTGCCTTGTAGCATTTTTAATCGTATCAATGTTGTTGTATGTCTTTAACCATTTTTTTGGTCGTTACAATTTGTGTTTTAATCTTCCGCTTTCCTTCAGGGCACTCTCGAAGATCAAATTGTTCAATGTAACCCCGCTATGGAAGCTTTCGGTAACGCCAAAACAGTAAGAAACGACAACTCATCCAGATTCGTAAGTTTTACATTTGTTATAATTTTATGGTGCAATAAGTTTGATTAATGAAAATTTCAATATATCAACTTGTTTTGTTCAGGGTAAATTCATTCGAATTCATTTTGGAAGCAGTGGAAGTTTGGCCTCGGCTGATATTGAGCATTGTAAGTACAATTTTCCCACCCCGTTTAATTACTGAAGATCCTATTGAAAGTAAATATTAATAAATTAATCCATTTTAGACCTGCTCGAAAAATCCCGTGTCATCTGGCAACAAGGTGGCGAACGTAATTACCATATTTTCTACCAAATCATCTCCGGATCAAAACCAGAACTTTTAGGTGAGTTTTAAAAATTTGCAACTCTCGAAGAAGAAGTTTTTATTCATTTCATGACGCATTGTATTCAATTAATATAATTTTATTTTATAGACCAACTTCTAGTGACAAAAGACCCATACGATTACAAGAGTATCAGCCAGGGTGTGGTAAAAGTTGACAACTTGGATGACGGCGAAGAACTTTTGTTGACCGATGTGAGTCTTCCTCATTTATCATTTCCTAATTTTTAATTCTCCTCTTTTCACCTTCATTTGAACTGGGTCCAATGAAAACTTGATCCTCTTTACATTGTCCTATTCCTTTCCTTTATCATCATCATAATTTTGTTCTTACTCTTATTCTCTTCTGAATCGTTGCTTTCTATTCTCTCTCTTTTTCTCTATCTTTCATCTTTTTCTCTTTTATTGAGAAAAGCAGATTTTCTCTCGAATTTTTCATTCTCTTTTTTCATCTCTTTTATCTCGTTTCTCTCACACTTTAACGTTCTTATCTTTACTCTCTCGTATTTAATTACGTTCTTCTTTTAACTTCTCACTGTTTCGCTAACAGGAAGCTTTCAAGATTCTTGGTTTCACTCCCGAAGAAATTAGCGGTATTTACCGATTGATGGCTGGTATTATGCACCAACAAAACATGAAATTTAAGAACAAACAACGCGAAGAACAAGCTGAAGCCGATGGAACCGAAGGTACGAATAAGTAACGTTATTTTGGACATAGCGAGTAGATTATGTTACGTTAACATGTATGGTATTGCACAGTACAACAAACGCTTTTTACTTTTCAGATGCTGATAAGGTCGCTTATCTTTTCGGTCTCAACTCTGCCGACCTATTGAAATATCTCTGCCACCCACGCGTCAAAGTTGGAAACGAATACGTCACCAAAGGACAAACCTGTCCACAGGTACGGGGTCTGACAACATTGTACATTGTATTATCTAACGGTTCACAACGGAGTCTTATTTTATTGCACATTGTATTAGTATTTTAATGATCCGTTTTAAAACTACTCAAATTTACTACTCTACCACTCTACAAAACTACTCTAACTGGCAACACTTTTATTATAATAATTCACAAATAAAATTTTATTATTATATTGTAATAGTAACATGGAATATTATCTAAATGTTTCTATTTTTGAAACGTGAAAATGGTATCTGAGTACATATCTTACCAAATTTTATATTACAGGTCGCCCATTCCATTGGTGGTCTCAGCAAAGGAATTTTCGAGAAGCATTTCAACTGGTTGGTCAAGATTATCAACAACAGTCTGAGCACAAAGCTGCCAAGAAGTTATTTCATTGGTGTCCTTGATATTGCCGGTTTTGAAATTTTCGAGGTATTTCGAATTTTACTTAGTCATAATACTGATTTTAATTATGTGGAATGATAAAACTTATGGAATTTTCGAAATCTTACCAATATCATTTTTTATCCATTTGTTTTCAGTTCAACAGTTTTGAACAACTCTGCATCAACTTTACCAACGAAAAATTGCAACAATTTTTCAACCATCACATGTTTGTTCTTGAGCAAGAAGAATACAAGAAGGAAGGAATTGATTGGGTTTTCATTGATTTCGGAATGGACTTGGCCGCTTGTATTGAACTGATTGAAAAGGTATGTTATTATTGTGCCTATCGCATTCTAAAAAAACTTAAAAAAAAAAACTTAACTCCATATTGAAAACGAACCACGTAGTATAACTTGTTTCGATATCACACGACTCGCCAGATCTTATTTTAGCGATTTAAAATATGCCTCCAATCGATATCTTTTTCTATTTATCACTACAGCCACTTGGTATTATGTCCATCCTTGAAGAAGAATGCATGTTCCCCAAAGCTACTGATCAATCCTTCTGTGAAAAACTTTACCAAAACCATTTGGGAAAGACGAAAAGCTTCGGCAAACCCGTAAAGAAAGGAAAGTTCGAGTCACATTTTGAACTTCATCACTACGCCGGAACGGTAAGTTATCTCATAATTTTGTAAAAATAACGAAACGGCTTATTAATAAATAAGAGAGCAATGCTCATATATATGGACACGAAAGCATATGCATATGCAACGGACCGGAAAGGTCTCGACTAATTTATTAGTTGTAGAGAAAAACCACATTTTCCCAACAACAAAAACAGAAATTACCGCACAACAACAATTTAGCATAACATATTCCACTTCGTATACGTTTAAAATTTTCCTCATTTACTTTAGGTCGGATACAGTATTACTGACTGGCTTGAAAAGAACAAGGAACCTTTGAACGCCAGTGTAGTCGAGCTTTACAAGAAATCTTCACTTAAACTTATGCAAACGATTTGGGAAGGATATGCTGGACCTGAGGATTCCAAATCAAGCGGAGGGGGGAAGAGAAAGAAGGGAGGTTCCTTCAACACTGTGTCCTCTATGCACAGAGAAAGTTTAAACAAACTAATGACCAACTTGAGGTAACGACATAAGGAAGTGAACACAGTTTTAAACTTTATTTTTCAAATTTCGGCGACATTATATCATTAAACGAACACTGTCTTAACGATGCCAACCTAATGCTCTTTCCGAAGCAAATTATATTTAGTATTATTTTATTTTAAAATATATAATGCGCTACCAATTCTTACATCAGAAAATTAACAAGTAACGGTTTTATTTATACAGATCTACAGCCCCACATTTCGTTCGTTGTATCGTTCCCAACGACACTAAAACTCCGGGTGTTATGGAACCTCACATTGTTCTTCATCAACTCCGCTGCAACGGTGTGTTGGAAGGTATTCGTATCTGTCGCAAAGGTTTCCCCAACAGACTGCCATATGGAGATTTCAAGCAACGGTAAGGAATTGGTAACTGCTCAACGTAATTACATTTCATTTTATAATGGTAATATGCCGTGAAATTCACTTTACATAAGGAGTTTTCAAACTTTATTCCCTTGATCAGCCGACTAGATCTATTTCCCTTATTTTGTGACAATGGAATTACATTTCTATTTTAGCTACCGTATCCTAAATTCTGAAGCAGTCCCAGAGGGTGCTTTTATGGACAACAAGAAAGCTTCCGAAAAGATTTTGAGCTCTCTGGATATCGACCACACTCAATACAAATTAGGTCACACCAAGGTACTGTAATTTCTTTCATTGGAATTTTGTTTTTATCGCGATTGCGATTTTTGAGGTTTCTTTACAATGCGATGGTTTTACTTTAGGTCTTCTTCCGTGCTGGTATGTTGGGTGTATTGGAAGAACTAAGAGACAACAAACTGTCGTCTATCTTCAAGCTTATCCAGGCTCGTTTCCGATCTAAAATTATGAGAGAACATTACCAGAAACTCATTGAATCAAGGTAAATAACATATAATATCGAACATAACATAAATATATAAATCTTAATATATACTGCTCTAAACGGTACTTAATAATATATTACATGCACATAGTAAATTTAAACAAACGATTTTCAATGCAATATTTCTATACTGCGAAATGAAAGGCCAATTTATACAATTGCAGCGGTGAACGATAGAAAAATTCGTAACCACCAAAAGCAAAAATTTGGTTGAACGATTATTCGATGAAGTATTCCGTTTTCCAAATACAGATTACTCATATCCTATATATTATATATAGAAATTATTTAGACTTATATCTTCGCATTTTTAAAATATAACTCTCCACTTTGAAAAATACCATTGTTTTAATATTCCTGTATATTTACCTCTGCAGAGTTGCCATCCGTTGTCTGCAGTCCAACTTGAGAGCTTTCTTCAGTGTAAGAGATTGGGACTGGATGAAGCTTATGTACAAGATCAAGCCTTTGTTGGCAACTGCTGAAGCAGCTAAAGAAATGGAACAACTTGAAGAAGAAAATGAGGAATTGAAAGCTTCGCTTGAAAAAGAAACAAAGAGAAGAAAGGAGTTGGAAGAATCACAAGTTTCTCTCGTTCAAGAGAAAAATGATTTGTTACTGCAACTGAGAGCAGTAAGTTTACATTGCTTTTATATATGCCGTTGTAGGTTTTCGCCAGTAATCCAAATTTTTATGCCCAAATTTATTTCCGATAATTAGGCCTTATATAGGATTCATTCCCAAAAAAATGTAGCCATGACAGTAATAAACATCTTTTTGGCAATGAACCTGCATATATTCGAAGATAAATATCTGAAAATGTGAAGTTCTGGAATATATTTGTAATTGTAAACCAGTACCCCCCATTCACAAATATTTTTACCAAATTTAGGAACAAGATAGCATTGAAGACGCAGAAGATAGATGCGACCAATTGATCAGAGCTAAAGTGGAATTGGACGGAAAGATCAAAGAAATGACAGAACGTTTAGAAGACGAAGAAGAAATGAACAATGATCTTGTATCTAAAAAGAGAAAATTAGAAGACGAATGCTCAGAATTAAAGAAAGATATTGATGACATTGAACTTACTTTAGCTAAAGTAGAGAAAGAGAAACACGCCACTGAGAATAAGGTAGGTTTCACATATTCGACTCAACATAGGCCCTATATAGACAAGCAATTTTTCAAGATAATCTATATATATTGAAAAGACTGAAATATTTTAAATCCAACATTTATTACGAGGCCTCTCCACGCATTTTGCTGCAAATAATGCTTCATACAAATATTACAAATTTTTTACACCCTATCTGGGGTAGTGTACATGGTAGTGGTAGGTATAAGCCCGCGAATCGAGTCAAGTCGGATCAAGGGTCATCCAAGTCGAGTCATGGGTTATACAAGTCGAGTCATGGGTCATCAAGGTCGAGCCCAAGTATGAAGTCGAGTCGAGTCAATGCCTCGAGCCTCCCTAACTAAATGGTACTCAAACACAAGATCCATTGGACACCACTTTGAGATATTTCTTTGAATTTAGCTTAAAAATGTACAAGAAGAACTCGCAAGTATGGACGAAACAATTGCAAGATTGCAAAAAGAAAAGAAAGCTTTGCAAGAGGGCCATCAACAAACTCTCGATGATCTTCAATCAGAGGAAGATAAAGTTAACAGTTTGTCGAAACAAAAGAACAAATTGGAGCTTCAAATCGATGACGTAAGAATTGATGACGTCATTTTCGAATATTATTCTTTATTATTGTTTTGATTCAAATATAAAATATTCCAAGCTATAATTGTTGAATAGTTGTAAGTTTTTTCGTTTTTTTTTTCAGTTGGAAGCTACACTTGAAACCGAGAAGAAACAGCGTATGGATTTGGAAAGAACTAAAAGAAAACTTGAAGGAGATTTGAGAATGACACAAGAAAGTGTTATGGATCTTGAAAACGAGAAACAAAGATTGGACGAAAAAATCAAAAAACAGGAATTTGAGTTTGGACAAATTTCAACCAGACTTGAAGACGAGCAAGCTCTTGTACTCCAGTTACAAAAGAAAATTAAAGAAAGCATTGCTCGTAATGAAGAAATTCAAGAAGAACTTGAAACTGAAAAATCCATTCGTGCTAAAGTTGAAAAACAGAAAGCTGATCTTCAACGTGAACTTGAAGAGCTCAGTGAGCGATTGGAAGAAGCTGGCGGGGCAACTGCAGCACAGGTAAAAATTTTATCAAAAAAAATTGTAAAAATATTATTTGACATCAAAAAAAGGTTAAAATCCAGCTAGAATACTGCAAATTCCAGCAATTTTTGTAACTTATGCGTTTCTGGCAATTTATTTGTTCTGCGGTGAAAATTTTACCATGTGTTTACCGCTACTTTTCTTATCATCAAACTTTATCGAATTTGTCATTTTTATCAGCTAATATCTAGAAAAAACACTTCATTTTTCAAATTTTCGTGACTTTACATTCCAGATTGAAGTTAACAAGAGAAGAGAGGCTGATTATGCCAAGCTTCGACGAGACTTAGAAGAATCCAACTTGACTCACGAAGCAACAGTCTGTATGTTGAGAAAGAAACATGCCGACTCATCCGCCGATATGAGTGAACAGGTAAGAATTGTATTATTTGCTGCAATCAACGGAAATGTGAAGTTCCTCCCGACTGCGATCTATGTTAAATTTTAACAATGGCTTCAACTTTAGATTTAAAATCTTACTATCCGGCTCTCGACTGCGAAGTTAGGGAGTGCATAGTTTAAGAAGTATGAATCTTCCATTTTGGTTTTACACTTCAAACTTTAAAGAGTTTGAAAATACAACTCCAATACCAATATCGTGTTTCATAACCCTACAGTAATCCATAAGAACGTATTTTTAACTCAACCATTATTTCAGATTGACAACTTGCAAAGAACCAAACAGAAAATGGAAAAAGAGAGAAGCGAATTGAAGATGGAAAATGATGATTTAGCCGCCAATGTGGAAAGTGTAACTAAGGCTAAGGTATATACATATTACTCAGTTATTTATGGTGCTTAAATATGCTAGAATTATTTTATTTTATCGTTTTATTCTATTTTAGATCAATTATGAGAAAATGGCTCGCACCCTTGAAGAACAGCTTGGGGAAGCCAAATCAAAGAATGACAGTTTCGTGAAGGAAGTTAACGAATTGAATGCAACAAAAGCTAAACTTACTTCGGAAAATGGTAAGTTAGCACAGTTAGATTTAGCTGACTTTGGGCATTCTAGTTGGTTTCTTTATACCCAATCATTAATGATCATTTGTTACAAGATAAAAGGTAATATTGTATTGGCACAAAGTACTGTTACTGGCGCATTCAAACCGTTGGTCACCGAATCGATAAGCGGAACGTCCACGTGGCAAATTTTCTTAAGCCAGCAAAGCTTGATAGAACACATTATGCTTCCTATATCCCAGTCATAATATGACAAAATGGTCACAAACTATCAGCAATCTAACCACTCCAACTATTTGATAAGAATTTTTTCAAAACATCGGCAAATTAGCAAAACGATAGTTAGGACGTCGTTATTGATTATTCTTTTCGACTTTTACTCGAGTCTCAATTTTGCATCGTATTTGCAGGCGAAATTTCCCGATTGTTGGAAGAACGTGAAAACTTGGTTGCTCAATTAACACGAACAAAGAACAGCGCAAACCAACAAAACGATGACTTGAAAAAGATGTTAGAAGAGGAGACCAAAGCAAAAGCAGCTCTTGCTCACGCAGTTCAAGCTTCCCGACACGACAACGATCTTCTCCGTGAACAATATGAAGAAGAACAAGAAATTAAGGCTGAATTTCAACGTTCTTTGTCCAAGGCAAATGCCGAGATCGCACAATGGAGAAACAAATATGAGACCGACGCTATTCAAAGAACAGAAGAATTGGAGGAAGCAAAGTAAGCTAAATTTAATAACATTTACCGCAATTAAATTACTATTCCTCTTTAACAGTAGACGAATAGCCAATTTAAAAGAAAAAAGACAAGTGTTGCCAACGTTTGTATAGCATATATATATAAGAAAAAAAATAGGGCACAGTACATACCCCTGCTGAACCAACCATTTCCATTATTCAGGAAAAAGCTTGCCACCAGACTTCAAGAAGCTGAGGAGCAAGTTGAAACATACCAAGCTAAATGCTCAAGCTTAGAAAAGAACAAGAGCCGAATGCAAATGGATATGGAAGAGATTACCATCGAATTAGAAAAAATGACGTCACTCGCTAATTCTCTCGAAAAGAAACAAAAGAACATCGACAAGGTTGGTAATTTAACTGGAATAACATTACTAATCAATTTTCTTGTATGTGGCTATAAACGTTTTCTAATATTAATAATGAACATTTAGGATGCAATACAATTGGTTATTTGAGAAAGATATTCATCGAACCGCCCGCATCACCAAATGTTATTGTGATATCACATATTGTGGTATGACGTCATCGTTTGTACAATGACGTCATGATTGAGTAATATGGTATTTTCCTAGACTATTGTTGAGTACAAAAACAGAGAAGAAGAAGTAAGATCTGAGTTAGAAACTGCACAAAAAGAAACAAGAAGTTTGTCAACTGAATTGTTCAAAACAAAGAATGCTTATGAGGAAGCTTTGGATGCATTGGAAACAGTCAAAAGAGAGAACAAGAATCTTCAAGGTAGTTTTTATAAACTATAAAACTAGGATTTGAAAATGCTATATTCTCAATCCCAGCAAGTGAAATACATCGATTTGGTGTGCAAGGAAATTAAAGGTAAATTTTTTTATCTAGATGAAATCCTTGACCTCACTGACCAGCTTGGTGAGGAAGGCAAAAACTTTCACGAACTTGAAAAATCGAAGAGAACTTTGGAGCAAGAAAAAGTACAACTTGTGGTAAGTGTAACCATTTGTAACTAAAATATAATTTATTCTTTTGTTATAAGCAAATGCAAGTAATATTATTCTAGACTTGCAAAACTTTTGATATTTTAAGATTAATTATGTAGGTTAAGCTTCAAACTATCAATCTTTTGCTAAATCTTACCAATATTATTGATGTTATTCTTCAGGCTGCTCTTGACGAAGCTGAGAGTGCTTTGGAAGGCGAAGAAGCAAAGGTTATGCGATTCCAGTTGGAAATAGCACAAATGAAACAAGACTCTGAAAGAAAAGTCATCGAAAAAGAAGAGGAAATTGATAATCAAAGGTAACATGATCTTCTCAATAAAGAACATTCAGGAAAAGAAATGGATATATCAATCACTATTTGAAGGGCCTTTACTAAAAAACTATTAATTGCCAATGTTCATGTAATGACTATTATTTATTCATGTTTCCAAATGTCTCTAACCCAAATGCCTAGAATTGTGTAAATTCCCACTTTCCAGCGAATATCATACAATTTTTCGCTTAGACGCAATCACCAACGATCACTTGAATCAATGCAAACAACTCTACAAGCTGAAAGTAAAGCCAGACAAGAAGCTTACAGAATCAAGAAGAAATTGGAAGGAGATTTGAACGATATGCAAGTTAAACTTGCCCACTCTAACAAACAAACAGGCGAAGTGACTAAAGCTTGCAAACAAGCACAACATCAAATTAAGGTAAATGATCGTATGGAAGGGCAAAATTTTGATGTGCAAACTATATAGATTTTTCATCTCATGCTTATTATATATTCTTTTGAAGGAATTCGAGTTGCAAGTTGAAGATAGCAAGAGAGAAAATGAAGATCTGCAAGAACAACTCGCAGCTTGTGATAGAAGGGAAACTATGTACAGTAGCGAAATTAATGAACTCCGAGTTGGATTGGATCAAGCTGAAAGAAGCAGAAAAGTTGCTGAAACTGAACTCCTTGAATGCAGGTAAGGAGAAAAGCCAGAATTTAATCTGTTGTTATCGAACCTCTGCGGTTGGCACACTGTGCCAAGCCTCAGGAACACAATTTCATTAACATCTCGATCTCGACTGGTGGCAAGACATGATCTGGTGGTTAGCCGTACGATTAAGCCGTTTTGACGATTTTTTCTCTCCCTGAGATTCGTATGAAAATATTAATCGTTTTCTATTCTAAATTGGATCACTTCTGAACTGGTATCTTCGATTACCCCAAAGCTGAAATTCATATTAATTACCCTGCGTTATTTTATCTCCAGTGAGCGATCGAACCTTCTTCACGCACAAAATACTGCATTGGTCAATCAAAAAAGAAAAGTTGAAAGTGCACTTCACAACGTTAACGGAGAAATCGAAGAACTAGTACAAGAAAAACTAGCTGCCGAAGAGAAAGCAAAGAGAGCGGTTGTCGATGTAAGTTATAAATTTCTAACGTTCTACCATTGTTGAATTGTTCGGTTAACCGTTATTCAAATTCCACATCTTGATTATATTCAGGCTGCAACCATGGCTGAAGAACTCAAGAAGGAACAAGATCTTGCATCTCATTTGGAGAGAATCAAGAAAAACAATGAACAAGTAATCAGAGATATGCAACAAAGATTAGATGCTGCTGAGGAAGTTGCACTCAAGGGAGGAAAGAAACAAGTCCAGAAATATGAAAACAGAGTAAGTTAACACTTTGTATATAGACTCAAAGTAGGAAGAATTCTGTGCCAAAATGATATTTTCAAAAAGAAAACGCCTTCGAATTTGTTGAATTGTCTAATACTGTATTTCCAGTTTTTCCATTAATATTGTGTTGAGTCGAATAGTCACACCGACAAATACAACATCTTCAGGCTTAATTACATAAATAAAAATGCTGCTTTTGTAATTTAGTTTTACAAATTATCTCAGAACATTGCTTTCGAGCTCTCACCAAAAGTGCTGTCACTGAAATCTATATTATTTTTAACAATTCACGCTAACATATCAGTGCTAACTTTAATTTGTCTTTATTGTTTCAGGTGAGACTTCTCGAGCACGAACTTGATGCTGAGCAACTTCGTCATGCTGAAGCACTGAAACAACAGAAGAGAATGGAACGTAAATTGAAGGAAGTTGTTTACCAAGCTGAGGAAGACAAGAAGAACTTGTTCCATATGCAAGAAATTGTTGAGAAACTTCAATCTAAAGTGAAAGCATACAAGAGACAAGCTGAAGTTGCGGTAAGTGAATAATAGGAGGTTACGCATTCCAATACCGTTTTTTCTGATATGAATTGAATTTAACTCTTTTCCTTTTCAAAATATGAACCATTATCATTTTCAGGAAGAAGAAGCGAATACAAACTTGAACAAATACCGAAAGGTACAACATGATCTTGATGATGCAGAAGAGCGCGCTGATATGGCTGAATCGGCTCTCAATAAACTGAGACCCATGGCACAAAAAGGATGTAACAAGGTATGCGATTAATGTATTAAAATCTGATTATTATAAACCAAAGTTCTGAGGCGGTTCAAAATTTCTGTATTTCAAAATTTGGTATTCTATATATATAATTAGAATAAATCTTGCATACCATGCTTTAGTAACAGTTATATATATTAAAAAACGATTGTTTCAATGGCCATTAAAAAATTGTCTTTTTGTTCCAGGGAATGGATTTTCTGGATGAATAAGCAGAACCTGTTGCCGAAATATACAACAGAAGTTCAACATCAACAAATTTAAATTTTGAATTGATCATAACAATGTTCATTGTGTTTTCACGACGCTTTGATTGTAATTTTTATTTAACATATCTTGTAGATTTTTAGATGAGTTCAATTTTATCTTTACCTGGTTGTTTTACATCGCTCTCTTATACGCCATAACATCTTTGCTGTAGTTTTTCTTTTTCTCCGTAACTTTTAATAAACATTTTATTGTATTACTCATTAGACCTTCGAGTCTGACTGATTCTTTTCATAATCCAATTTAATATATATATTCATATTTGATATAGGTTCATAAAATAATTATGGATTCATATTTACTCTCATTTTTTATTTTATTTATTCCGTTCATTTATGTACCCTGTGCTCTCGATACGATATGTAGCGGCATTTTCGTGGCCTTACTTTTAATTTTTTTTTGTCTTTCCTGATTTCTTCGCAGTTTATTATTATTATTATATTGTATAATAATAATAAAATTTTAACATGAATATATGTTGTGATACAATGCTGTTCTCATCCAGAATTACTGTGCTATTGCCTTAGTTCCACATTAACTGAAGATATAACATCATCACAAAATTTAAATTGCAAAAACATTGACTTCATAACATCACAAAACTATAGGCAAGATGCGAAGCATAAGCGCGCCAGTCGGTGATACAAAAGATCCATTACCCTCCCCCCTCCACCAGTGGTTCGTTAAACTCCCCTTTTCGCTTATATTGGAGCTCATTCTTCTTCCCACTCTGTGCATAAATACTACTCGATTGATTTAATCTTCAACGTATCTTTAGATAGTGTTATGTGAAAGTCGCACCCCCGCTTTTGCACAGTTTATTTAATTATAATGTGTGCATGAATAAGTGTTAAGGTATTAATAAAGAAGAACCAAAAAAGAATATTAGAGTAAATAAAAAGAAACGTTATCTTTCACAAAAACGACAGAATTCACTTCCTTTGGGAGTTGCCCTCTGATTGGGAAACGTAGCTCGGCGCAAATCAGGCTCTGAAAAGAAAAACCACTTTTATAGACAAAGTCTCGAAGCTGTGTGGCCCTCTTGAAATAAAACCAGTCAATACTGGTCTACGCTAGATATTTGGCGTATGATGCCACCTACGCTATAATAGCAGACATTTAAATTATAACAATTGTTTTTAAATTATGCGTGTCCCCGACCATACATCATTCAGTAATGATTTCCTTTCATGCAGCTATTTTCTGTTCTTGTATTTTCATCAAACAATGCTGAAATATGAGTAAATTATTGTCAGATGTTTTGAAGTTTTGCAACTTCTCTCTCGGTATTGCATTTTGAGTTTACGACCTTGTCAAACAAATGAACGTTATCACAGAAGGTTTGAGGTCGCGTCATTGCGCTACCATAAAATAAATAGAGCGTGGGTCGAATAAGAGCACGGATATCATGTATGAATCATTACCTGAGATACACATATAACCTAACATCTGTTTGTTGCGAAGAAATAGATGCCTTTGTACTCGTAGTGAACTGAAATAGTTTGGTTAAAAATTAATTCTCATAATATCTAATATGAGACACCGGGGATTGTGAATTGATTATCTTATGTACACACGCTGTACATTATTGTATTTATTTATTATCTATTTTTCACTTAAGCAAAATAACGCGCGCTCATTCAATAGTGAAAGTGACCTCTGAGCGAAGTAAAGGACAATCACTAGAGTGCTAAAAGCTATTAAAACAGAGGTATAGGATTCAGGTGGTATAGGATTCCGTTAGTAGTACCTATTTATAAAACCGCAAGATTCCGGAAGTTAAGAGAAACACGGTCCGTTACAAAATGTGCATGTATAATAAGAACAGCAATGCTACATTTCGTCGACGGGAAAAAGTTTATATTTCGAGAATTGGCTTACGACTAAAGAAAAAGGAATGTAAAGACATTCAACTATCATTGGCGTGTTGAGCCACAAGCGTTATATATACAATTCAAGATAAGACAATAATGCATTTCCGAATATTTCATTACATACTGCAGTAAGTACATAATGCAGTAAGAATAAACAAACATCGTTTAAGATAAGTTATTTATTAGCTGAGCCTGTCTCGCAACTTCACATACTTGCGTAAGGAAAACTTGGTCAGAGGGTGTTCCTACGCCCATAAAATCTCTGGGTTTGATTAAAACGAAAGCCTTTATTCTATATTAGAATGAATATACACAGATCATCTCCGGATAGTCGAAGTAAAAATAACCATTGTATAAAAAAGAGTACAAACAACAAGGTGCACAATGTCCTTTGATAGCCCCGTAAATGGTATTTAAAAATTATTATCATCAAATTGAAAAAAAAAACTAATTTTCTTTCACCCATTAAATTTTTCCATCAGAAGAAAATAGCACATGGTGAAGTCAAAATGAAATTTGACAAAATAAAAATAAAGGTCATCGAGGATAAAGTAAAATACACAGTTTTCAATGATCCTGTTCATGGCACCATTTCTCTTCACCCATTTCTGGTTAATATAATTAACACACCACAGTTCCAAAGGCTCCGAAATATCAAACAACTTGGAGGAGCTTACTTTGTCTATCCAGGTGCTTGCCATAACCGATTTGAGCACAGCATTGGAACAGCGCACTTGGCAGGAAAACTTGTCCGCCATTTGAAGAAAAATCAACCAAACCTTAAAATCAATGAAAAAGATATTCTTTGTGTGGAAATCGCGGGCCTCTGTCATGATCTTGGCCACGGCCCATTCTCCCACTTGTTTGATAATAAATTCTACAAGGCAGTGGGTGCAAAGAAAATTCCGCATGAAAAGATCTCGTATGAAATGTTGGAATATTTACTCGCGGATGAAAGAAATCAATTCAATCAAGCAAATCTCCGATTATGTAAAAATGATAGGACTTTCATAAAAGAAATGATCACCGGGGAAACAGATGAAAATAATCCAGGACGACCGTCTGGAAAAGAGTTTCTGTATGAAATTATTTCTAATGAGCGAAATAAAGTTGATGTGGACAAGTGGGATTACATTGCAAGAGATTGCTATCAGCTTGGAATGCAAAATGGCTTCGATCACAATCGTTTCATGGAATTAATGAGAGTATGTAAGGTAAAAGGAAAACGGCAATTGTGCGTTCACAAGAAAGAATGCTTTAATCTATACCAAATGTTTCACACGAGGTATTGCCTTCATCGTAGGGCTTACCAACACCCCGTTGTTAATGCCGTTGAGGAAATGTTCACCGAGGCTTAGGTTCATGCTAATGAACACGCTATCGATGGTATTAAATTGTCAGAATGTGCAAACGCTTTAGGTGTCTTCATGAAGCTTGATGATGGTATTTTTCATACAATTTTGAATTCGACAAAGGAGGAACTGGAGAAGTCAAGAGAAATACTTGAAAAGATAATGAGAAGAGAAATTTATCGGACAGTGGCAAACGAGAAGATGAAGGATCACCAACAAAAGTACACGGAAGAATTTATAAAAGAAAAGATTGGTTCCCAACAAAATCTTAAGGAACATTTGATTGTAAAAATAGTGAAGCTAAACTACGGAATGAAAGAAGGGGGAAATCCCATTGATTTATACAATTTTTATTTTAAAATCCCCCCGGATGTTGCTTCACCAATTCCAAAAGACGAAATTTCCAGCATGCTACCACCTGTATTCGAAGAATTTCGGTTGCAAATATTCTGTAAAAATCCAGAAAAGGAAAAGTTTATGGACGCTAAGAAAGCATTTGAATCTTGGTGGAAAAAAGAAATGCGGGAAGCACTCAAGAGAAAGTCAGATGACAATCCAGGTACTAGTTAAAGAACCTGTGAAGAAGAAACAAGTTCAGCACACGAATGAAAGTGGCTTATCTTACTGGGTGTGACAGTTCAAGCCAATATTTTTTCAGTATGCTACTCAAAATTAAAGAGCGTCCAATGCGTTAACCATTAAACCATCGCACCCACGTTTCAAATCGCGTTTCACCTTATATATATTTATCAGTCAATAAATAGGGTGGGCGAAGATCAAGAGGTTTTATATCCTGCTTTATCTGCACATAGTCAACATATAACAAAAGGTAGGCAGAGAGCAAAGGCTTTATTGAAATATATTGAGTAAAGTAATAGTTCATTGCTGACAAATAGCAATGCTTGGTCGGTATGGAAATGTGCATATTTGAATTATTGCAGTGAACAATATACATCAAAACTGGTGTTTGCATGCCTTTTTCGTGACTTTTAGAAGTATTGGAAGGCTTGGAATTTCGTCTCCGGCATCAAATTCGGAGAGTGTGAAAGTTCGAATCCGATTCTAATGCCAAAAATAAAACTATATCACCTACACGGAAGAACGTATAAAAGAATAGATTGGTTTCCAACAAAATTTGAGGGAAGATTTGATTGTAAAAATAGTGAATGCTAAACTACGGAATGAAACGGAAAAATCCCGTTGATCAGTATAATTTTTACTCTAAAAAAACCGAATGTTGCTGATTCAATTTCGAAGGTCGATATTTCCAGCATGTTGCCACCTGTATTCGAAGAATTTCGTCTGCAGATATTCTGTAAAGATCCAGGAAAGTTTCAAGACGCTAAGAAAGTTTTTGAATCTTGGTGGAAAAAAGAAATGCCGAAAGCACGCAAGAGAAAGTTAAAAGCCGAACAAGGCACTAATAAGAGGGCCTGTAAAGGAGTAGCAAGTTTAGCACACAAATGAAGAAGAAATATTTTGGCCGTATCACGTCTTAAATCAACAAGTTATGCTTTGAATTGTACATTTTGAAAATTTAATTTTTATCAAAGATTTAACAGAATCAGTTTATTCTACGTTATTGACTATTACTTTATATTTCAATAGATTAATTTGCTTTATAGAATAGAATAATGTATGCAGTTAAATCATAATATTATGTTGTACAAATAATATTGTAATATATATGTCTATACATACGTTATCGAGATTCAATAAATCTGATTTATTACCATAATGCTCTGCTTCTATTACACATCTTCTCCATTGGCATAAGATAAGATTTACATATTTATCCCGGGGGAGAGAAAAGCCGATAAGTCAGCTTAAACATGTGGCGAACCACAGAAAAAGACAAAGCCGTTAGTCATTTCTGATAATCTTTTGAATTACATTAATTCAATAAATAGCTATAGTGTAGACATTGTACGAGTTCTCGCGCTAATGGGTGGAGGATAAACAAATAAAGATAAAGGTTTTTAATAGCGAGATGTAAATAAAACATTAACATATTACCGCTGTCCCGGTGCTACGTGCAACGGTAATGCGTATCAAAGTGACAGATATATAATAGGCCTTCGTTAATATGATCACTAAGCTTGGATTTTCACTTTGATTGTTAATTTATTTTATTTCATCATTTATTTCAAATTTATTCAAATCATACAATTCAGATCTAGAGCCTGTCTAATTTTTGGTCGTAAGTGTTTTCAATTCCTCAAAAAACCTTAAAAAGTATCCATGTTATCTAAACAGCGAATAATTAATATTCTCAAACCATAATTGTTACATTTCAAACTGCAGTATCTAATTTACAATTTTCTTCAAGTCCGATTCTTTGCTTGCTTGGAATTAGAGAAAATATTGGGCATTTCGATGCCACTGCTACCGTTGCGAATAAAATTGTTCACATTACTCTTGGAGTGAGACGATAACTTCCACACAGTGCAGAAATTGTTGTAAGATCGTTTGCCAGTAAAGACAGATGGCATTCAGTACGTTCATTTCTTAAACTTGGCAATAGTGAAACTTGCATTGGACACATAATAATATACTCTATCGGACTTCATATCCAATTACTGCATGTGTATATCGTATTTGGCGCATGCACAGTACTATATTCTTCCTGCTTTAAAAAACACAACAGGCGCTGTATAAAACTGGTTCGAGGCAATTTTTTGGGGTATGTTATTAAATTTACTCAACACCAGACGCGATCGACTACTCGAGACGTGGCGATCGACCGGCCGATCGCGATCGACGTGTTGGCCACCCATGATATATACTATATTCAGTAATGACTTCCTTGCATGCAGCTATTTCTTTCCTTGTATTTTCATGAAATGCTGCTGAATTATGAGGAACTTAATGTCAGGTGTTTTGCAGTGTAAGAATTGTTTTGCAACTACTCTCTCAGTATTGCATTTTGAGCTTATGACCTATGAGTAATGATAGACAAATAAAGTTATCAAAGAAGGTTTAACGTAGCATCATTGCATTGCTATGACAAAGAGCGTGAGTCGAATTTGAGCAAACAAGAAATGTTTTATTTATTATATATGAATCATTAACTGAGATACAAATATAATCCAGCATCTGTTTGTTGCGAATAGATAGATGTCTTTGTTCTCGTGATAGATTGGAATATTTTGGTTAAAAATTAATTCTCATAAGATGCTATATATATACCGGGTATTGTGAGTTATCAAAGAAGGTTTAACGTAGCATCATTGCATTGATATGACAAAGAGCGTGAGTCGAATTTGAGCAAGTAAGAAATGTTTTATGCTATATATATGAATCATTAACTGAGATACAAATATAATCCAGCATCTGTTTGTTGCGAAGAGATAGATGTCTTTGTTCTCGTGATAGATTGGAATATTTTGGTTAAAAATTAATTCTCATAAGATGCGATATATATACCGGGTATTGTGAGTTGAATATCTTATTGTACTCCAACTGTGAGGAAGTAGGCCTACATTATGGTACTTTGTATACTATTTTTCACTTTTCAAAGGAACTCGCTCGCTCAATAGTGAAAGTGTTCTCTGAGCAAAGCATCTGAAAAGGACTGAAGTGCCAAAAGCTTCGTCGACGGAAGAGAGTTTTTATTTCCAAAATTGGCTTACAATTGACAAGTACGCTGAAGAGATTTAACGCATTGAGCCAAAGGCGTCCTATATTCAATTCAGGACAAGATAAATTATAAGTTGAGCCTAGATTGCAACTTCAGGTCCTTCAAAAGAAAACCCAAATCTCTCGTTTTCATTAAAACAAAAGTTTTCATCATATATAGCCTATATTATATTGAACTCGCAAATCATCCGCGAGTAGTCAAAGTGAAAGCAATCATTGTATGTTCTACATTGTTTTATTGCAAATCAGTCACAATGTATGTATGAAGAGGAGTACAGTAGGTGTACAAGGTCCACGGCATCCATTGATAGCTTTGTAAATAACCTTTCAAAAATTTTCATCATTAAATTAAAAAGGTTAATTCCCTTTAACCCATTATATTTTTCCAGCTATAGAATATAGCACATGGTAAAGTAAATATGGGACTTGACAAAATAAAAATAAAAGTCATCGAGGATAAAGTAAAATACACAGTTTTCAATGATCCTGTTCATGGCACCATTTCTCTTCATCCATTTCTGGTTAAAATAATTAACACACCACAGTTTCAAAGGCTCCGAAATATCAAACAACTTCAAGGAGCTTACTTCGTTTACCCAGGTGCTTGTCATAACAGATTTGAGCACAGCATTGGAACAGCGCATTTGGCAGGAAAACTTGTCCGCCAGTTAGAGGAAAATCAGCCCAAGCTTGGAATTGATAAAAAAGATATTCTTTGTGTGGAAATCGCGGGTCTTTGTCATGATCTTGGCCACGGTCCATTTTCCCATTTGTTTGATACAGATTTTTACACCGCAGTGAGTGCAGAAAAAATTCCGCATGAAAAGATCTCGTATGAAATGTTGGAATATTTACTCGTGGATGAAAGAAATCGATTCGATCGAGCAGATGATATCAATCAGGAAAATCTCTTGGATGAAAGAAATCGATTCGATCGAGCAGATGATATCAATAAAAAAAATCTCCAATTTAATAAAAATGATTGGACTTTCATAAAAGAAATGATCACCGGGAAAAAAGATGAAAATAATCCAGGACGACCTGGAAAAGAGTTTCTGTATGAAATTATTTCCAATGAGCGAAATAAAGTTGACGTGGACAAGTGGGATTATTTTGCTAGAGATTGCTATCAACTTGGAATGCAGAATGGCTTCGATCACAATCGTTTTATGCAATTTATGAGAGTAATAAAGGTAGACGGAAATTGGCAATTGTGTGTTCACAAGAAAGAATGCTTCAATTTATACCAAATGTTTCACACGAGGTATTGCCTCCATCGTAGGGCTTATCAACACCCCGTTGTTAATGCCGTTGAGGAAATGTTCACCGAGGCTTTGGTTCATGCTAATGAACACGCTGGTATCGATGGTATTAAATTGTCAGAATGTGCAAAAAATTCGAGTGTCTTCATGAAGCTTGATGATGGTATTTTTCATACAATTTTGAATTCTACAAAGAAGGAACTGGAAAAGTCAAGAGAAATACTTGAAAGAATAATGAGAAGAGAAATTTATCAGACAGTGGCAAACGAGAAGATGAAGGATCACCAACAAAAGTACACGGAAAAATTTATAAAAGAAAAGATTGGTTCCCAACAAAATCTTAAGGAACCTGTGATTGTAAAAATAGTGAAGCTAAACTACGGAATGAAAGAAGGGGGAAATCCCATTGATTTATACAATTTTTATTCTAAAAACAGCCCGGATGTTGCTTCACCAATTCCAAAAGACGAAATTTCTAGCATGCTACCACCTGTATTCGAAGAATTTCGGTTGCAAATATTCTGTAAAAATCCAGAAAAGTTTAAGGACGCTAAGGAAGCATTTGAATCTTGGTGGAAAAAAGAAAAGCAAGAAGCACTCAAGAGAAAGTCAGATGACAAACCAAGTACTAGTAAGAGAACCTGTGAAGAATAAACAATTTCAGCACACAAATGAAAGAGACATATTTAGACTGGATCACATATTAAAACCACAAGTTATGCTTTGAATTGTACATTTTGAATGTTAAAAAATTTAATTCTACATTCAACAAATATAGTTTATTCTACTGCTTTGACTATTATTTATATTTTAGTAGATTGATTCGCTTTATAGAATAGAATAATATATGCAGTTGAATTATAATAATATGTTGTACAAATAATATTATAATATATATGTCTATATATACGTTATCGTGATTCAATAAATCTGATTTATTACCATAATGCTGTGCTTATATTACCAATCTTCTCCATTGGCATAAGATAAGATTTACATAGTTATCCCGTGGGAGAGGAAAACCAATAAGTCAGCTTAAACATATGGCGAACCACGGAACAAGACAAAGCCGTTGGTCATTTCTGATAATCATTTGAATTACATTAATTCAATAAATAGCTATAGTGTAGCCTAGACATTGTACGAGTTCTCGCGCTAATGGGTGGAGGATGAACAAATAAAGGTTTTTAATAGAGAGATGTAATTAAAGCATTAACATATGACCATTATTCCGGTGCTACGTGCAACGGTAATGCTTATCAAAGTGACAGACATATATGCAGTGGTGGGATTCAGCCGGTTCGCACCGGTTCTATAGAACCGTCTCACGGAATTTCATGAGATCAGCGAACCGGTTAGCATTACTGGTTATTGTCAATGTTCTGTTTGTAACAGAACCGGCTGAAAAATATGCATTTTGTGAGAGAACCGGCTGACAAAAAATTCGAATCCCACCACTGCATATATATATGCTTTCGTTAATATGATCACTGAAGTTGGATTTTCACATTCCTGTATCGGTACTCTGTTCTTACGTAGAAGAATTTATTCTTAATACAATAGAACTACCCACAATTTTATGTTGAGTTTACGAAGTTCGCTTCATTTCGGTCAAAATTATCGACGTTCCGATTATTAAACAGATAATTTATTAAAGGGCTTTAGACTGAAGAAACCGATAAATATAACATGGCCCAATATTTTTTACCGACTGGTGATAGCTTATCTTACTGGGTGTGACAGTTCAAGCCAATATTTTTTCAGTATGCTACTCAAAATAAAAGAGCGTCCAATTTAAGCCTTCGCAGCCACGTTTTGAATCGCGTTTCGCCTTATATATATTTATCAGTCAATAAATAGGGCGGGCGAAGATCAAGAGGTTTTATATCCTGCTTTTTCTGCACATAGTCATCATATAACAAACGTAGGCAGAGAGCAAAGGCTTTATTGAAATATATTGAGTAGAGTAATAGTTCATTGCTGACAAATAGCAATGCTTGGTCGGTATGGAAATGTGCACATTTGAACTATTGCAGTGAACAATATACATCAAAACTGGTGTTTGCATGCCTTTTTTGTGACTCACTTTTAGAAGTATGAAATTCTGATTTTGGCTTGGAATTTCGTCTCCGGCATCAAATTCGGAGAGTGTTAAAGTTCGAATCCGATTCTAATGCCAAAAATAAAACTATATCACCTACACGGAACTACACGGAAGAACGTATAAAAGAATAGATTGGTTTCCAACAAAATTTGAGGGAAGATTTGATTGTAAAAGTAGTGAAGCTAAACTACGGAATGAAACGGAAAAATCCCGTTGATCAGTATAATTTTTACTCTAAAAAAAAGCGAATGTTGCTGATTCAATTTCGAAGGACGATATTTCCAGCATGTTGCCACCTGTATTCGAAGAATTTCGTCTGCAAATATTTTGTAAAGATCCAGGAAAGTTTCAAGACGAAAGTTTTTGAATCTTGGTGGAAAAAAGAAATGCCGAAAGCATGCAAGGGAAAGTTAAAAGCCGAACAAGGCACTAATTAGAGGGCCTGTAAAGGAGTAGCAAGTTTAGCACGCAAATGAAGAAGTAATGTTTTGACTGTATCACATCCTAAATCAACAAGTTATGCTTAAATTGTACATCTTGAAAATTTAATTTTTCATTGAAGATTTAACAGAATCAGTTTATTCTTCGTTATTGACTATTACTTTATATTTCAATAGATTGATTTGCTTTATAGAATAGAATAATATATGCAGTTAAATTATAATAATATGTTGTACAAATAATATTATAATATATATGTCTATATATACGTTATCGTGATTCAATAAATCTGATTTATTACCATAATGATGTGCTTATATTACACATCTTCTCCATTGGCATAAGTCTCCATAAGTTAAGATTCACATGTTTATCCCGGGGGAGAGGAAAGCCGATAAGCCAGCTTAAACATATGACGAACCACGGAAGAAGACAAAGCCGTTAGTTATTTCTGATAATCATTTGAATTACATTAATTCAATACATAGCTATAGTGTAGACATTGTACGTCTACGAGTTCTCGCGCTAATGGGTGGAGGATGAACAAATAAAGATAAAGGTTTTTAATAGCGAGATGTAAATAAAACATTAACATATTACCGCTATCCCGGTGCTACGTGCAACGGTAATGCGTATCAAAGTGACAGATATATAATAGGCCTTCGTTTAATATGATCACTAAGCTTGGATTTTCACTTTGATTGTTAATTTATTTTATTTCATCATTTATTTTAAATTTATTCAAATCATACAATTCAGATCTAGAGCCTGTCTAATTTTTGGTCGTAAGTGTTTTCAATTCCTCAAAAAACCTTAAAAAGTATCCATGTTATCTAAACAGCGAATAATTAATATTCTCAAACCATAATTGTTACATTTCAAACTGCAGTATCTAATTTACAATTTTCTTCAAGTCCGATTCTTTTCTTGCTTGGAATTAGAGAAAATATTGGGCATTCCGATGCCATTGCTACCGTTGCGAATAAAATTGTTCACACTACTCTTGGAGTGAGACGATAACTTCCACACAGTGCAGAAATTGCTGTAAGATCGTTTGCCAGTCAAGACAGATGGCATTCAGTACGTTCATTTCCTATACTTGGCAATATTGAAACTTGCATTGGTCACATAATAATATGCTCTATCGGTCTTGTCCATACCCAATTACTGCATGTGTATATCGTATTTGGCGCATGCCCAGTACTATATTCTTCCTGCTTTAAAAAACACAACAGGCGATGTATAAAACTGGTTCAAGGCAATTTTTTTGGGTATGTTATTAAATTTACTCAACACCAGACGCGATCGACTACTCGAGACGTGGCGATCGACCGGCCGATCGCGATCGACGTGTTGGCCACCCATGATATATACTATATTCAGTAATGACTTCCTTTCATGCAGCTATTTCTTTCCTTGTATTTTCATGAAATGCTGCTGAATTATGAGGAAGTTAATGTCAGGTGTTTTGCAGTGTAAGAATTGTTTTGCAACTACTCTCTCAGTATTGCATTTTGAGCTTATGGCCTATGAGTAATGATAGACAAATAAAGTTATCAGAGAAGGTTTAACGTAGCATCATTGCATTGCTATGACAAAGAGCGTGAGTCGAATTTGAGCAAACAAGAAATGTTTTATTTATTATATATGAATCATTAACTGAGATACAAATATAATCCAGCATCTGTTTGTTGCGAAGAGATAGATGTCTTTGTTCTCGTGATAGATTGGAATATTTTGGTTAAAAATTAATTCTCATAAGATGCGATATATATACCGGGTATTGTGAGTTATCAAAGAAGGTTTAACGTAGCATCATTGCATTGATATGACAAAGAGCGTGAGTCGAATTTGAGCAAATAAGAAATGTTTTATGCTATATATATGAATCATTAACTGAGATACAAATATAATCCAGCATCTGTTTGTTGCGAAGAGATAGATGTCTTTGTTCTCGTGATAGATTGGAATATTTTGGTTAAAAATTAATTCTCATAAGATGCGATATATATACCGGGTATTGTGAGTTGAATATCTTATTGTACTCCCACTGTGAGGAAGTAGGCCTACATTATGGTACTTTGTATACTATTTTTCACTTTTCAAAGGAACTCGCTCGCTCAATAGTGAAAGTGTTCTCTGAGCAAAGCATCTGAAAAGGACTGAAGTGCCAAAAGCTTCGTCGACGGAAGAGAGTTTTTATTTCCAAAATTGGCTTACAATTGACAAGTACGCTGAAGAGATTTAACGCATTGAGCCAAAGGCGTCCTATATTCAATTCAGGACAAGATAAATTATAAGTTGAGCCTAGATTGCAACTTCAGGTCCGTCAAAAGAAAACCCAAATCTCTCGTTTTCATTAAAACAAAAGTTTTCATCATATATAGCCTATATTATATTGAACTCGCAAATCATCCGCGAGTAGTCAAAGTGAAAGCAATCATTGTATGTTCTACATTGTTTTATTGCAAATCAGTCACAATGTATGTATGAAGAGGAGTACAGTAGGTGTACAAGGTCCACGGCATCCATTGATAGCTTTGTAAATAACCTTTCAAAAATTTTCATCATTAAATTAAAAAGGTTAATTCCCTTTAACCCATTATATTTTTCCAGCTATAGAATATAGCACATGGTAAAGTAAATATGGGACTTGACAAAATAAAAATAAAGGTCATCGAGGATAAAGTAAAATACACAGTTTTCAATGATCCTGTTCATGGCACTATTTCTCTTCATCCATTTCTGGTTAAAATAATTAATACACCACAGTTTCAAAGGCTCAGAAATATTAAACAACTTCAAGGAGCTTACTTCGTTTACCCAGGTGCTTGTCATAACAGATTTGAGCACAGCATTGGAACAGCGCATTTGGCAGGAAAACTTGTCCGCCAGTTAAAGGAAAATCAGCCCAACCTTGGAATTGATAAAAAAGATATTCTTTGTGTGGAAATCGCGGGTCTTTGTCATGATCTTGGCCACGGTCCATTTTCCCATTTGTTTGATACAGATTTTTACACCGCAGTGAGTGCAGAAAAAATTCCGCATGAAAAGATCTCGTATGAAATGTTGGAATATTTACTCGTGGATGAAAGAAATTGATTCGATCGAGCAGATGATATCAATCAGGAAAATCTCTTGGATGAAAGAAATCGATTCGATCGAGCAGATGATATCAATAAAAAAAATCTCCAATTTAATAAAAATGATTGGACTTTCATAAAAGAAATGATCACCGGGAAAAAGATGAAAATAATCCAGGACGACCTGGAAAAGAGTTTCTGTATGAAATTATTTCCAATGAGCGAAATAAAGTTGACGTGGACAAGTGGGATTATTTTGCTAGAGATTGCTATCAACTTGGAATGCAGAATGGCTTCGATCACAATCGTTTTATGCAATTTATGAGAGTAATAAAGGTAGACGGAAATTGGCAATTGTGTGTTCACAAGAAAGAATGCTTCAATTTATACCAAATGTTTCACACGAGGTATTGCCTCCATCGTAGGGCTTATCAACACCCCGTTGTTAATGCCGTTGAGGAAATGTTCACCGAGGCTTTGGTTCATGCTAATGAACACGCTATCGATGGTATTAAATTGTCAGAATGTGCAAAAAATTTGAGTGTCTTCATGAAGCTTGATGATGGTATTTTTCATACAATTTTGAATTCTACAAAGAAGGAACTGGAAAAGTCAAGAGAAATACTTGAAAGAATATTGAGAAGAGAAATTTATCAGACAGTGGCAAACGAGAAGATGAAGGATCACCAACAAAAGTACACGGAAGAATTTATAAAAGAAGAGATTGGTTCCCAACAAAATCTTAAGGAACATTTGATTGTAAAAATAGTGAAGCTAAACTACGGAATGAAAGAAGGGGGAAATCCCATTGATTTATACAATTTTTATTCTAAAAACAGCCCGGATGTTGCTTCACCAATTCCAAAAGACGAAATTTCCAGCATGCTACCACCTGTATTCGAAGAATTTCGGTTGCAAATATTCTGTAAAAATCCAGAAAAGTTTAAGGACGCTATGGAAGCATTTGAATCTTGGTGGAAAAAAGAAATGCAGGAAGCACTCAAGAGAAAGTCATATGACAAACCAGGTACTAGTAAGAGAACCTGTGAAGAAGAAACAATTTCAGCACACAATTGAAAGAGACATATTTAGACTGGATCACATCTTAAATCCACAAGTTATGCTTTGAATTGTACATTTTGAATGTTAAAAAATTTAATTCTACATTCAACAAATATAGTTTATTCTACTGCTTTGACTATTATTTATATTTTAGTAGATTGATTCGCTTTATAGAATAGAATAATATATGCAGTTGAATTATAATAATATGTTGTACAAATAATATTATAATATATATGTCTATATATACGTTATCGTGATTCAATAAATCTGATTTATTACCATAATGCTGTGCTTATATTACCAATCTTCTCCATTGGCATAAGATAAGATTTGCATAGTTATCCCGTGGGAGAGGAAAACCAATAAGTCAGCTTAAACATATGGCGAACCACGGAAGAAGACAAAGCCGTTAGTTATTTCTGATAATCATTTGAATTACATTAATTCAATACATAGCTATAGTGTAGACATTGTACGTCTACGAGTTCTCGCGCTAATGGGTGGAGGATGAACAAATAAAGATAAAGGTTTTTAATAGCGAGATGTAAATAAAACATTAACATTTTACCGCTATCCCGGTGCTACGTGCAACGGTAATGCGTATCAAAGTGATAGATATATAATAGGCCTTCGTTAATATGATCACTAAGCTTGGATTTTCACTTTGATTGTTAATTTATTTTATTTCATCATTTATTTTAAATTTATTCAAATCATACAATTCAGATCTAGAGCATGTCTAATTTTTGGTCGTAAGTGTTTCCAATTCCTCAAAAAACCTTAAAAAGTATCCATGTTTTCTAAACAGCGAATAATTGATATTCTCAAACCATAATTGTTACATTTCAAACTGCAGTATCTAATTTACAATTTTCTTCAAGTCCGATTCTTTTCTTGCTTGGAATTAGAGAAAATATTGGGCATTCCGATGCCATTGCTACCGTTGCGAATAAAATTGTTCACACTACTCTTGGAGTGAGACAATAACTTCCACACAGTGCAGAAATTGTTGTAAGATCGTTTGCCAGTCAAGACAGATGGCATTCACTACGTTCATTTCCTATACTTGGCAATATTGAAACTTGCATTGGACACATAATAATATACTCTATCGGACTTGTCCATACCCAATTACTGCATGTGTATATCGTATTTGGCGCATGCCCAGTACTATATTCTTCCTGCTTTAAAAAACACAACAGGCGATGTATAAAACTGGTTCAAGGCAATTTTTTGGGGTATGTTATTAAATTTACTCAACACCAGACGCGATCGACTACTCGAGACGTGGCGATCGACCGGCCGATCGCGATCGACGTGTTGGCCACCCATGATATATACTATATTCAGTAATGACTTCCTTTCATGCAGCTATTTCCTTCCTTGTATTTTCATGAAATGCTGTTGAATTATGAAGAAGTTAATGTCAGGTGTTTTGCAGTGTAAGAATTGTTTTGCAACTACTCTCTCAGTATTGCATTTTGAGCTATGACCTATGAGTAATGATAGACAAATAAACGTTATCAAAGAAGGTTTAACGTAGCATCATTGCATTGCTATGACAAAGAGCGTGAGTCGAATTTGAGCAAATAAGAAATGTTTTATTTATTATATATGAATCCTTAACTGAGATACAAATATAATCCAGCATCTGTTTGTTGCGAAGAGATAGATGTCTTTGTTCTCGTGATAGATTGGAATATTTTGGTTAAAAATTAATTCTCATAAGATGCGATATATATATACCGGGTATTGTGAGTTGAATATATTATTGTACTCCCACTGTGAGGAAGTAGGCCTACATTATGTTACTTTGTATACTGTTTTTCACTTTTCAAAGGAACTCGCTCGCTCAATAGTGAAATTGTTCTCTGAGCGAAGCATCTGAAAAGGACTGAAGTGCCAAAAGCTTCGTCGACGGAAGAGAGTTTGTATTTCGAAAATTGGCTTACAATTGACAAGTACACTGAAGAGATTTAACGCATTGAGCCAAAGGCGTCCTATATTCAATTCAGGACAAGATAAATTATAAGTTGAGCCTAGATTGCAACTTCAGGTCCTTCAAAGGAAAACCCAAATCTCTCGTTTTCATTAAAACAAAAGTTTTCATCATATATAGCCTATATTATATTGAACTCGCAAATCATCCGCGAGTAGTCAAAGTGAAAGCAATCATTATATGTTCTACATTGTTTTATTGCAAATCAGTCACAATGTATGTATGAAAAGGAGTACAGTAGGTGTACAAGGTCCACGGCATCCATTGATAGCTTCATTAATCATCATTAAATTAAAAAGGCTAATTCCCTTTAACCCATTATATTTTTTCAGCTATAGAATATAGCACATGGTAAAGTAAATATGGGACTTGACAAAATAAAAGTCATCGAAGATAAAGTAAAATACACAGTTTTCAATGATCCTGTTCATGGCACCATTTCTCTTCACCCATTTCTGGTTAAAATAATTAACACACCACAGTTTCAAAGGCTCCGAAATATCAAACAACTTGGAGGAGCTTACTTTGTCTACCCAGGTGCTTGTCATAACAGATTTGAGCACAGCATTGGAACAGCGCATTTGGCAGGAAAACTTGTCCGCCAGTTAAAGGAAAATCAACCAACGCTTGGAATTAATGAAAAAGATATTCTTTGCGTGGAAATCGCGGGCCTCTGTCATGATCTTGGCCACGGCCCATTCTCCCACTTGTTTGATAATAAATTCTACAAGGCAGTGGATGCAAAGAAAATTCCGCATGAAAAGATCTCGTATGAAATGTTGGAATATTTACTCGCGGATGAAAGAAATCAATTCAATCAAGCAAATCTCCGATTATGTAAAAGTGATAGGACTTTCATAAAAGAAATGATCACCGGGGAAACAGATGAAAATAATCCAGGACGACCGTCTGGAAAAGAGTTTCTGTATGAGATAATTTCTAATGAGCGAAATAAAGTTGACGTGGACAAGTGGGATTACATTGCAAGAGATTGCTATCAGCTCGGAACGCAAAATGGCTTCGATCACAATCGTTTCATGGAATTAATGAGAGTATGTAAGGTAAAAGGAAAACGGCAATTGTGCGTTCACAAGAAAGAATGCTTTAATCTATACCAAATGTTTCACACAAGGTATTGCCTTCATCGTAGGGCTTACCAACACCCCGTTGTTAATGCCGTTGAGGAAATGTTCACCGAGGCTTTGGTTCATGCTAATGAACACGCTATCGATGGTATTAAATTGTCAGAATGTGCAAACGATTTAGGTGTCTTCATGAAGCTTGATGATGGTATTTTTCATACAATTTTGAATTCGACAAAGGAGGAACTGGAGAAGTCAAGAGAAATACTTGAAAAGATAATGAGAAGAGAAATTTATCGGACAGTGGCAAACGAGAAGATGAAGGATCACCAACAAAAGTACACGGAAGAATTTATAAAAGACAAGATTGGTTCCCAACAAAATCTTAAGGAACATTTGATTGTAAAAATAGTGAAGCTAAACTACGGAATGAAAGAAGGGGGAAATCCCATTGATTTATACAATTTTTATTCTAAAATCCCCCCGGATGTTGCTTCACCAATTCCAAAAGACGAAATTTCCAGCATGCTACCACCTGTATTCGAAGAATTTCGGTTGCAAATATTCTGTAAAAATCCAGAAAAGGAAAAGTGTAAGGACGCTAAGAAAGCATTTGAATCTTGGTGGAAAAAAGATATGCAGGAAGCACTCAAGAGAAAGTCAGATGACAATCCAGGTACTAGTAAAAGAACCTGTGAAGAAGAAACAAGTTCAGCACACGAATGAAAGTGGCTTATCTTACTGGGTGTGACAGTGCAAGCCAATATTTTTTCAGTATGCTACTCAAAAATAAAAGAGCGTCCAATGCGTTAACCATTAAGCCATCGCACCCACGTTTCAAATGGCGTTTCACCTTATATATGTTTATCAGTCAATAAATAGGGTGGGCGAAGATCAAGAGGTTTTATATCCTGCTTTATCTGCACATAGTCATATAACAAAAAGTAGGCAGAGAGCAAAGGCTTTATTGAAATATATTGAGTAAAGTAATAGTTCATTGCTGACAAATAGCAATGCTTGGTCGGTATGGAAATGTGCATATATATTTGTCTCCGGCATCGGCATCGAATTCGGAGAGTGTGAAAGTTCGAATCCGATTCTAATGCCCAAAAATAAAACTATATCACCTACACGGAACTACACGGAAGAACGTATAAAAAAAAAGATTGGTTTCCAACAAAATTTGAGGGAAGATTTGATTGTAAAAGTAGTGAAGCTAAACTACGGAATGAAACGGAAAAATCCCGTTGATCAGTATAATTTTTACTCTAAAAAAAAAGCGAATGTTGCTGATTCAATTTCGAAGGACGATATTTCCAGCATGTTGCCACCTGTATTCGAAGAATTTCGACTGCAAATATTCTGTAAAGATCCAGGAAAGTTTCAAGACGCTAAGAAAGTTTTTGAATCTTGGTGGAAAAAAGAAATGCCGAAAGCACGCAAGAGAAAGTTAAAAGCCGAACAAGGCACTAATTAGAGGGCCTGTAAAGGAGTAGCAAGTTTAGCACGCAAATGAAGAAGAAATATTTTGGCTGTATCACATCCTAAATCAACAAGTTATGCTTAAATTGTACATCTTGAAAATTTAATTTTTCATTGAAGATTTAACAGAATCAGTTTATTCTACGTTATTGACTATTACTTTATATTTCAATAGATTGATTTGCTTTATAGAATAGAATAATGTATGCAGTTAAATCATAATATTATGTTGTACAAATAATATTGTAATATGTATGTCTATATATACGTTATCGAGATTCAATAAATCTGATTTATTACCATAATGCTCTGCTTATATTACACATCTTCTCCATTGGCATAAGATAAGATTTACATATTTATCCCGGGGGAGAGGAAAGCCGATAAGTCAGCTTGAACATGTGGCGAACCACAGAGAAAGACAAAGCCGTTAGTTATTTATGATAATCATTTGAACTAGAGCTGCGTGCAGCTTTAACAGGCTTCCCGTCTTGCTCACTGGAGCGTGAAAACGTGGTCAGTCATGCATAAAATTTGCAATTTATGATGGTGGACTTATTATCAGCATGTGATGTAAATTTCAGGTCTCTAAGTAGTGTCGTTCTCGAGAAGAAGATGAAAATGTAAAATCCTATATTGCTCACTGGAGCGTATCGCCGAGGTCACTCATGCGTATCCTTGACCTATCGTATCCGGAACATGTCCATTAATCATTGTTATGGATTTCAACCCAATAGCATGTATCAATTTTGAGAAATGGCAGAAAAACTGAAAATGCGTTTTGCTCACTGGAGCGTGAAAGCGTGGTCAGTCATGCATAAAATTTGCATTTTGTTGCTAGCTGAGAACTTCTGCACATTTGAGGTGAATTTCAAGTTTGTAGGACCAATTTGAAAAAAAAATAATAAAAACTAGAGCTGCGTGCAGCTTTAACAGGCTTCCCGCGTAAAAAAAGCTGAAGACGCGTTTTGCTCACTGGAGCGTGAAAGCGTGGTCAGTCATGCATAAAATTTGCAGTTTATGATGGGGGACTTATTATCTGCATGTGATGTAAATTTCAAGTCTCTAAGTAGTGTCGTTCTTGAGAAGAAGATGAAAATGTAAAATCCTATATGGCTCACTGAAGCGTATCGCCGAGGTCACTCATGCGTATCCTTGATATGTCGTATCCGGGGGGGACTTATTATCTGCATGTGATGTAAATTTCAAGTCTCTAAGTAGTGTCGTTCTTGAGAAGAAGATGAAAATGTAAATCCTATATGGCTCACTGAAGCGTATCGCCGAGGTCACTCATGCGTATCCTTGATATGTCGTATCCGGAACATGTTCATTAATCATTGTTATGAATTTCAACCCAATAGCATGTATCAATTTTGAGAAATCGCGAAAAAACTGAAAACGCGTTTTGCTCATTGGAGCGTGAAAGCGTGGTCAGTCATGCATAAAATTTGCAATTTATGATGGGGGACTCATTATCTGCATGGGATGTAAATTTCAAGTCTCTAAGTAGTGTCGTTCTCGAGAAGAAGATGAAAATGTAAAATCCTATATTGCTCACTGGAGCGTATCGCCGAGGTCACTCATGCGTATCCTTAACATATCGTATCCGGAACATTGTCCATTAATCTTTGTTATGAATTTCAACCCAATAGCATGTATCAATTTTGAGAAATCGCAAAAAAACTGAAAACGCGTTTTGCTCACTGGAGCGTGAAAGCGTGGTCAGTCATGCATGAAATTTGCATTTTATTGCTAGCTGAGAACTTCTGCACATTTGACGTTGAATTTCAAGTTTGTAGACCAATTGAAAAAAAAATAATAATAATAATAATATAATAATATAATAAACAAGAGAGCTATGCTCAAATATATGGACACGTAGCGCCACCCAATGGCAATAATTTTGATGACGTCATAGCGAAAAAAAAAGTAATAGCCTTCTGGAGAAAAATTTTATCTTCAACCACTGAAAATTTCAAAGCAATTGGTCCAGTATTCGAAGAGAAAACGACTTTTAAAAAACGTGTCAAAGAACAAGAACAACAACAAGAACAACAAGAACAACAACAACATAATATTGAAACGATCGTTATATCCACTACGTGTCCAATAATAATAATAAAACACAGGAATACAATAGGTTCCCTGCTGAAAAGCAGCGGGAAGCCCTAACTAGAAGCTGCGTGCAGCTTTAACAGGTCTCCCGGTGAAAAAAACTGGAGACGGCGTTTTGCTCACTGGAGCGTGAAAAGCGTGGTTCAGTCATGCATAAAATTTTGCAATTTATGATGGGGGACTTATTATCTGCATGTGATGTAAATTTCAAGTCTCTAAGTAGTGTCGTTCTCGAGAAGAAGATGAAAATGTAAAATCCTATATTGCTCACTGGAGCGTATCGCCGAGGTCACTCATGCGTATCCTTGACATATCGTATCCGGAACATGTCCATTAATCATTGTTATGAATTTCAACCCAATAGCATGTATCAATTTTGAGAAATCGCAAAAAAAATGAAGACACGTTTTTCTCACTGGAGCGTGAAAGCGTGGTCAGTCATGCATAAAATTTGCAATTTTGATGGGGGACTTATTATCTGCATGTGTTAAATTTCAAGTCTCTTAAGTAGTGTCGTTCTCGAGAAGAAGATGAAAATGTAAAATCCTATATTGCTCACTGGAGCGTATCGCCGAGGTCACTCATGCGTATCCTTGACATATTGTATCCGGAACATGTCCATTAATCATTGTTATGAATTTCAACCCAATAGCATGTATCAATTTTGAGAAATCGCAAAAAAACTGAATACGCGTTTTGCTCACTGGAGCGTGAAAGCGTGGTCAGTCATGCATAAAATTTGCAATTTATGATGGGGGACTTATTATCTGCATGTGATGTAAATTTCAAGTCTGTAAGTAGTGTCGTTCTCGAGAAGAAGATGAAAATGTAAAAATCCTATATTGCTCACTGGAGCGTATCGCCGAGTCACTCATGCGTATCCTTGACATATCGTATCCGGAACATGTCCATTATTCATTGTTATGAATTTCAACCCAATAGCATTGATCAATTTGAGAAATCGCAAAAAAACTGAAAACGCGTTTTGCTTACTGGAGCGTTAAAGCGGTGGTCAGTCATGCATAAAATTTTGCATTTTATTGCTAGCTGAGAACTTCTGCACATTTTGAGGTGAATTTCAAGTTTGTAGACCAATTTGAAAAAAAAAAATAAAAATAAATAATAACTAGAGCTGCGTTGCAGCTTTAACAGGCTTCCCGCGTTGAAAAAAATGAAGACGCGTTTTGCTCACTGTAGCGTGAAAGCGTGGTCAGTCATGCATAAAATTTGCAATTTATGATGGAGGACTTATTATCTGCATGTGATTTAAATTTCAAGTCTCCAAGTAGTGTCGTTCTCGAGAAGAAGATGAAAATGTAAAATCCTATATTGCTCACTGGAGCGTATCGCCGAGGTCACTCATGCGTATCCTTGACATATCGTATCCGGAACACGTCCATTAATCATTATTATGAATTTCAACCCAATAGCATGTATCAATTTTGAGAAATCGCAAAAAAACTGAAAACCCGTTTTGCTCACTGGAGCGTGAAAACGTGGTCAGTCATGCATAAAATTTGCAATTTATGATGGGGGACTTATTATCAGCATGTGATGTAAATTTCAGGTCTCTAAGTAGTGTCGTTCTCGAGAAGAAGATGAAAATGTAAAATCCTATATTGCTCACTGGAGCGTATCGCCGAGGTCACTCATGCGTATCCTTGACATATCGTATCCGGAACATGTCCATTAATCATTGTTATGGATTTCAACCCAATAGCATGTATCAATTTTGAGAAATGGCAAAAAAACTGAAAATGCGTTTTGCTCACTGGAGCGTGAAAGCGTGGTCAGTCATGCATAAAATTTGCATTTTGTTGCTAGCTGAGAACTTCTGCACATTTGAGGTGAATTTCAAGTTTGTAGGACCAATTTGAAAAAAAAATAATAAAAACTAGAGCTGCGTGCAGCTTTAACAGGCTTCCCGCCTGAAAAAACTGGAGACGCGTTTTGCTCACTGGAGCGTGAAAGCGAGGTCAGTCATGCATAAAATTTGCAATTTATGATGGGGGACTTATTATCTGCATGTGATGTAAATTTCAAGTCTCTAAGTAGTGTCGTTCTCGAGAAGAAGATGAAAATGTAAATCCTATATTGCTCACTGGAGCGTATCGCCGAGGTCACTCATGCGTATCCTTGACATATCGTATCCGGAACATGTCCATTAATCATTGTTATGAATTTCAACCCAATAGCATGTATCAATTTTGAGAAATCGCAAAAAAAATGAAGACGCGTTTTTCTCACTGGAGCGTGAAAGCGTGGTCAGTCATGCATAAAATTTGCAATTTATGATGGGGGACTTATTATCTGCATGTGTTGTAAATTTCAGGTCTCTTAGTAGTGTCGTTCTCGAGAAGAAGATGAAAATGTAAAATCCTATATTGCTCACTGGAGCGTATCGCCGAGGTCACTCATGCGTATCCTTGACATGTTGTATCCGGAACATGTCCATTAATCATTGTTATGAATTTCAACCCAATAGCATGTATCAATTTTGAGAAATCGCAAAAAAACTGAAAACGCGTTTTGCTCACTGGAGCGTGAAAGCGTGGTCAGTCATGCATAAAATTTGCAATTTATGATGGGGGACTTATTATCTGCATGTGATGTAAATTTTCAAGTCTCTAAGTATTGTCGTTCTCGAGAAGAAGATGAAAATGTAAAATCCTATATTGCTCACTGGAGCGTATCGCCGAGGTCACTCATGCGTATCCTTGACATATCGTATCCGGAACATGTCCATTATTCATTGTTATGAATTTCAACCCAATAGCATGTATCAATTTTGAGAAATCGCAAAAAAACTGAAAACGCGTTTTGCATACTGGAGCGTGAAAGCGTGGTCAGTCATGCATAAAATTTGCATTTTATTGCTAGCTGAGAACTTCTGCACATTTGAGGTGAATTTCAAGTTTGTAGGACCAATTTGAAAAAAAAAAAATATAAATAAATAATAACTAGAGCTGCGTGCAGCTTTAACACTTTCGATGCCAAGGACGTATATATACGTCATTTGGCGCCAACCGTTCCGTGCCATCAATGCAAAATGACGTATATATACGTCATTCGAAAAGGAAAAAGTTTAATAGATAGATGAAGGTCGAGTTCAGGTATTTGCCGTCTTTTTTCTTCTCTCTCTCTCTCTCTTGTTGTCAAGTTGGGGGGAAAGAATGACGTCGTCAGCAAATCGCGTCATTCAAGAAATACCAAGATGGAAGGAGGGTCTGCCATGAAGTAAATTATCAACTTATTTAGCATGGCCGAGGTACATATTAGCCGCAAATTATCATCAAAAATTTGTACGAGACCGACTGACGCCAACACACGGTTTCAACTTTTTACGGTGAAATGATTGAAAGGTGTGAGGAGAGATGATAATATTATCAATCATGTTACGAAGATGTAGAAAAACATTACTAAACCGGGAAATAATTCGAATATTTTTATATGCATGATCGTCGTCTTATTGGCAGGACGATGAAATGATTCAAAATGTTGGTATTTTTGAACGTTTTTTTAATTTTTTATCATTTTTGGGTAACGGATTGACGGACATCTGCAACGAAAGCAAATTTTATCGTCCTGAGAGGTGATATGTTACATTTTGAAATAATAAAGTGAGAAATTGATATTATTCGGAACATATATTTTTCTACTTGTCAGTGAGATATGATCCGAGATATAGTAATTTAGTGGGAAATATATTACCAATAACACAGAGCCCCTCGTATGCTTTCAGCTCATATTGAATTACTTCCGTAGCTATTGTATAACCATAATTATAGCAAAATATGCAATCCTACGACTTTGTGTCGGATGAACAAGTTCAATAAGCAGCCATGGCGTACTGATTACGTAGCTACGCAATAGCGATCACGTGTCTGGCGCCACGAAGACGGGACTACGTGCAGTCGAGACGACTTGCGTAGCAAATTGCGTGAGATGACAATTTCGGAAAATCGTGTTCTTGACAGATCAACTGACGAATTTCGATGAAGCTTTAAACCTTTTTATTATGTCAACTTAGAGACACCGGATGCGTATAATGAATATTGAAATTGCATTTGGAAATACTTCATTTGCACGCCAATATTAGTTCAATATCCACACATAAGTATTTGCTCGCTATAAATACCAGATTGAATGAAATGTTTGCCGAGGCAAGTAAAGACTTCGAATTTCATCGTTTACTGACTGAACCCACGAATCGTTTACTGACTGAACCGATGAAACCATGATTGCATATAAAGGAAGAGTTTCATTCAGAAGATATATGCCAAACAAACCGGTTAAATGGGGCATCATTGCTAGATCGATTGCTGATTCAACAACTGGATACATTTTCAATGTAAAAATAGATTATGGTAATCCAAACTTGGAACAACTTCCACCCGGCGTCACAAAAACTTCGAATTTAGTTTTGCAACTAATGGAAAGTCATCTGGATAGAGGATATCACGTATTTGTTGATAGGTATGTTGATTATTTGGTATTGATAAGACAAATTAGATAATTTACGTCTCGGCGCCATACTGCGTTCTATTTAGATAACGAATCATTGTCGGATATATCAATCAATTGCATAAACTGTTTTATCACAACCAATTTTTAATAATATTCATTTTTAATTTAGACTCTATAACTCTGTCGCATTAGCCGAGGAATTGCAGCGAAGGAAAACATCGATAACGGGAACAGTCACGGCAAACCGGAAGGGACTTCCAGCAGAAATAAAAACAAAACTAAAGAAAAGGGAAATCATCTCAATACGAAAAGGACAATTACTCGCACTACTATGGCAAGATAAGAGGCCGATTTCAATACTTTCGACGTATTGTAATGGTGACGAGGTCATAGAGATACATATGTGTTACAGTTGTATGAATATGCAATGTGACTACTTTGTTTATTTTGCAATATGTTATCCTTGTGAGTGACAATAATTGGCCATTATTAATGTTATTGGAATATATAGCGAATGAAGGATATATTTTTATGCTAGTAAACGATTTTGTTTTCTTTGTTCAAATTTGATATTTTCGTATAATAAAATGATTCTGATTGCTGAATAAAATGTTCGAATTGAATCTTTATCGCAATGAGAGATCAAGACAAGTTATCATCAACTTATGTTATAATAGCATGAGAGAGCAATTCCGACAAGATACGCGTGTGTAGGTGAGTTCTTTCACCTACGACTGAAGTGTCGGAATGAACGATAACTGATGACACCGCTGGGTTCGCCCCTTTCCCGATGAATCAAAAACTAAATACGAGAGAGAATGAATAGGAGAGAACTCTCTCGTTTTCACCTTGGCACGGAACGGTAAAATTGAAAAAACTGATCTTGGCATCGAAAGTGTTAACAGGCTTCCCGCGTGAAAAAAAATGAAGACGCGTTTTGCTCACTGTAGCGTGAAAGCGTGGTCAGTCATGCATAAAATTTGCAATTTATGATGGAGGACTTATTATCTGCATGTGATTTAAATTTCAAGTCTCCAAGTAGTGTCGTTCTCGAGAAGAAGATGAAAATGTAAAATCCTATATTGCTCACTGGAGCGTATCGCCGAGGTCACTCATGCGTATCCTTGACATATCGTATCCGGAACAGTCCATTATCATTATGAATTTCAACCCAATAGCATGTATCAATTTTGAGAAATCGCAAAAAAACTGAAAACCCGTTTTGCTCACTGGAGCGTGAAAACGTGGTCAGTCATGCATAAAATTTGCAATTTATTATGGGGGACTCATTATCTGCATGTGATGTAAATTTCAAGTCTCTGAGTAATGTCGTTCTCGAGAAGAAGATGAAAATGTAAAATCCTATATTGCTCACTGGAGCGTATCGCCGAAGTCACTCATGCGTATCCTTGACATATCGCATCCGGAACATGTCCATCAATCATTGTTATGAATTTCAACCCAATAGCATGTATCAATTTTGAGAAATCGCAAAAAAACTGAAGACGCGTTTTGCTCACTGGAGCGTGAAAGCGTGATAAGTCATGCATAAAATTTGCATTTCATTGCTAGGTGAGAACTTCTGCACATTTGAGGTGAATTTCAAGTTTGTAGGACCAATTTGAAAAAAAAATAATAAAAACTAGAGCTGCGTGCAGCTTTAACAGGCTTCCCGCGTGAAAAAACTGGAGACGCGTTTTGCTCACTGGAGCGTGAAAGCGTGGTCAGTCATGCATAAAATTTGCAATTTATGATGGGGGACTTATTGTCTGCATGTGATGTAAATTTCAAGTCTCTAAGTAGTGTCGTTCTCGAGAAGAAGATGAAAATGTAAAATCCTATATTGCTCACTGGAGCGTATCGCCGAGGTCACTCATGCGTATCCTTGACATATCGTATCCGGACATGTCCATTAATCATTGTTATGAATTTCAACCCAATAGCATGTATCAATTTTTGAGAAATCGCAAAAAAAACTGAAGACGCGTTTTGCTCACTGTGAGCGTGAAAGCGTGGTCAGTCATGCATAAAATTTGCAAATTTATGATGAGGGACTTATTATCTGCATGTGATGTAAATTTCAAATCTCTAAGTAGTGTCGTTAAAATGAGTCGCAGCTAGATAAACACTTAAGTAAAGTGTTAACTTTTTCTCTGTAACTCTTCTGGGTTCGTAAATTGACGCGTATTTGACGGGGGAAACATAGCAGAGACTACGCAGACAACATTTCGCCGTGAATTCATTTTTGACCCAACAACTTGCGCTAATCGATCGTGTTTCATAACTGCCTACCTCCTAACAAAATAAAAATAATGTAATAAAAAGTCAACACAATACCGAGAATGAAGTTTTTTTTATTTTATTCGGGGATGACAGAAGCAAAAGCGTAAATATCTTTTTGACTATCGTTCAGACGGCGAAAACGTAAACCACAGCAGGAACAATTTCATATTAAGAAAGCGTCTAATTTCATTTTCAAGCATGTTATTAATTCACGTAGTGATTACTCTCCGCAATAAAACGCGGAACTCATTAGTAACATCAAGCTAACGACGCAGTAAGCGAGAGAAGCAAACACGCGAGGAAAAAGCGCATCGCGATAAGCGCTCTCTTTGATAAGACGATCGACGAAAGGATAATAATCATTCCTTTGCAGAAATCGTTGTTGACAGCACTTTCTGGAATTGGTTGCTAACTAATACGGTATAACTATTATTGTGCGTAGAAATGCCACGAAAAAGATACTGGAAAATGGTGCGTAAACGCCTTGCTCTTAAGGTGGTTACTGGTGAATTCAGCCAGTCTGATGCTAGATTTAACTTCTCCAGCCGTGGACGACAATGCATTGCAACTGCCTGATTGCGCTTATTAAGCACGCCAATACTCGTGCAACTTTATGGCGTTCAAATGATTTGGATGAAATTCTCGTAGAAGGCGACAAACTATATCGTGGGTCCAAGACTTTTTGGTTATATTGACAACTATCTCATGGTCACAGAGTTGCCCTCAACTTATGAGTGAACGACGTACTGTACGAAATAAAGTACCAGAGCCCATTAACTGGTGCTGTTGGTTCGTCAGAAGCTCCGTCCGAACATATGGTTGGCATAATGTCGCTTGCAGATGCTCTTAGCAGAGACGTTTAGTAGCAGCGTATGTGCTCTCTTTACGCTGAACAGCAACACATTGGGAATAATCAAGGACGAATCGACGTACTTTGTTTTTGATCCTCATTCTCGTAATAGAGATGGTATGGTGTGCTATAATGGCACGTCAATTACGCTTGAATTTGGGTGTTTTAGATGGACGTTCATTGTCACCTCCAAAAACTACACCGAAATATCTCGCCCTCGGAGGATTTTGCTTGTCAGTTTGAAATGGTCGCCGTCGAAATCACCCAGGTTGTTGCTGGAAATGACACAGATGTGGTACAAGAAGTTAAAAGTACTAAACACGAGATGCTTTTTTCTAGACTAAACTATGCCACAAGATTTGACATTTGTAAAAAACTGGGATTGAAAATCGAATTGTTAATAGATGAAAATCCAATCAACGAACGACTAAACGAACCTGCAAAAGTTTTTTCAGTCAAGGCAGACGGATATTGCTTTTTCAATGCGTTATCTCATGAGCTGTCCGGAACTGAACACAATAACGCACAACTTAGGCAAGCAATTGCGCAAAATATCGAAGAAAATCCATGCGTCTTTTCAAATATTTTGCGCGATGAATACGCGGAAGATGGGGTTGAGAAATATATCAAACAGTCCAAGATGTTTGATGACGGCACGTGGGCAACAGAAGTGGAAATATTTTCTGCTTGTGACTTACTGGCATTAGACATATACACGTATTTTGAAAACAGGTGGCTGAAGTATTCCAGAGCGTTACTGAATCGCAATTACGTTACGCATTCACGGGGATCGATATATTTAAATAACAAAGGTGGAAATCATTATGAAATTGTTACGGACGTCAAGAGTTGGCAGAATGATGATGATGAGGGGGATCCGGCCATGGTTACTCAGCACGAAGTTACGAGAAATACCGAATGGTATGAGGTGGGACACATAGAAAAGCAAACAACATCAAGTATGAGTGAAGCCGATATGCGCTATGAATTATGTGAAGAATATCGAGAGAATGTGAAAAAAAGTAGCAGGCGAAGGTATAAAACCGATCAAAACTACAACAAAAAATCAAATTTGAGAAGCTCAGCAAAATATAAATATAATGAAAGCCACAGAGAAGCATTAAAGACAAGAAGCGTAAAGAAATACGAAACTGACGTACAACACAGAGAAAAGGTAATAGCTAGCAATATTCAGAAGTACCATCTCGATGACAAATACAGGAAGCAAGTAAAAACCAGAAGTGCTGAGCAGTACAAACTTGACGAAAAACACAGGAAGTAAGTAAAAACTAGAAGTGCTGAGCAGTACAAACTTGACGAAAAACACAGGGAGCAAATGAAAGCCAGAAGTGTCAAGAAATACAAACATGACGAAAAAAAACAGGGAGAGAATGAAAACTAGAAGCATGAAGCAGTTACAAACTTGACGAAAACACAGGAAGCAAGTAAAAACCAGAAGTGTCTGAGCAGTTACAAACTTGACGAAAAACACAGGAAGCAAGTAAAAACCAGAAGTGCTGAGCAGTACAACTTTGACAAAAAACCACAGGGGAGCAAATGAAAGCCAGAAGTGTCAAGAAATACAAACATGACGAAAAAAAACAGGGAGAGAATGAAAACTAGAAGCATGAAGCAGTACAAACTTGACGAAAAACACAGGAAGCAAGTAAAAACCAGAAGTGCTGAGCAGTACAAACTTGACGAAAAACACAGGAAGCAAGTAAAAACCAGAAGTGCTGAGCAGTACAAACTTGACAAAAAACACAGGGAGCAAATGAAAGCCAGAAGTGTCAAGAAATACAAACATGACGAAAAACACAGGGAGAGAATGAAAACTAGAAGCGTGAAGCAGTACAAACTTGACGAAAAACACAGGAAGCAAGTAAAAACCAGAAGTGCTGAGCAGTACAAACTTGACAGAAAACACAGGAAGCAAGTAAAAACCAGAAGTGCTGAGCAATACAAACTTGACGAAAAACACAGGGAGCAAATGAAAGCCAGAAGTGTCAAGAAGTACAAACATGACGAAAAACACAGGGAGAGAATGAAAACTAGAAGCGTGAAGAAATACGATCTTGACGAACTACACAGGCAGGAAGTTAAAATCAGGAGTGCCAATATGTACAGATTTGATGCAAAACATAACCAACGTGTCAGGAACGTAGCTCAAAAGAAATACTGGTGCAGTAAACGCGATATGTCAGCTAAAAATTCTATTGAAAAATTCAGCAAGTCGATAAAATGTGGACCAGATTGCGTATGCTGCATATGCTTTCGATCGTTTTTCCGTAAAAGCGTTATCGTATACAAAAGAAATAAGTATAAATGCGGGAACATCAGTACAAAATATAAGCACAAATGTAACACTTTTTGCACGAAGCCCTGTGGATTTGTTAACGC